CGAGCAGAATGGGAGAAAGCTTGATGAGCTACTACGGTTGGCATTGACTAACTCAAACCATCATTATACTTTAATTGTTTACTATGACAACATTAAATAAAATGAGGTTGGGTTTTAAAAGAGAATTGCTCCTCATTCTTATGTTGTATGTTAATATGTTATATGGTTTTATGTAACGTTATCCTGAAAGCGTATTAAACTTCGTTTATGATAGTAAAGTATCCCCTCGATGATGTTGAGGTTAGCATTTACAGCCGGAAAGGTATTATAATTATTATTCCCAATCAGGTTGCGAGCATAAATTCAAAATTGAAAATCTCTCGCTGGGGACCAAAGACGCGGAGTCGCAACCGAACGAAAACCAGGAAACCGCAAACTAATGAACGGACTGAGCCGCCGGGCGGATTTTGGAGCCCAGGGCTGCTGATTCTGTTGCTGCAGACGACGGCTGACGGTTCGTGGATTGGGCAGGGCCTTGTGGTTGCGTTGGTCCGACGAGCCGGTAGCCCTCGGTCTCTGGAGCTCACCAAAGCCGTCACAGCCGCCGTTGCTGCTGCTGCGGTTTGCGGTTCTTTTTGTGCCCGATGCAATTGTTCCTGCTCCCGGAGGCCATGGCATCAGCAGACACGTACATATACTATAGAAATATATATATATGTGGAATGGATGGAGCGTGCACGAACTACGAGCGAGAGTACGAGTGTTTTCCAAAATGGCGACTCCCCGCAGATGTAGATACACAAACCGGTAAGTCTTCCCAGCCAGCAGGGGGCCCGAAATTCGTGACGGCAGATGCAGGAGCTAGCAGTAATATGGCCGATATACGGACTCTGGGCGTAGGCGTGGGCGTGGGCGTTTCTGGGGGGGGGCGTGTCAGGGAAGCTGAACAAGCTGACACAGCTGAAAACTCAGCTCGAGATAGGAAATCAGACCGGGCCTCGTTTCTCAGGACTTATGCAGCTTATAAAACTTCGCCAGAGACGAATCTCCCGTACGCTTTCTGCATTTCCCCCCCTTCCATGAGACAAACGCTCTACTTTAAAGTAACGTCAATTTCAGTTTGCTTTGCCACTGCCGCCCGCCCGACTGCACAATTTTTGTTGTTGTACGTTATAATCCTCTTTTTGTGATCGGATTATGTCCTGTGTAGCACCTAATCCCCGCACAGGAGTGCGACCATCGTACACATGTTGCCAACAGGCACCGCCCGCACCCGAGCTCACACCCATTCCACAGCCACATCCATCCGCACTGATCCCGCAGTCGCAGTCAACTTTAATTACGCACTGGACTTCGATGGATGGATTAGGGCGGCCTTACGCCCACTGCCCGGGAAAAGCAATTAAAATGTGTATCTCTCGGATTTACAGTCGCACTTCCCTAAACGGAACGACCTTCTGGTTATGTAGGGTTTGAATATTTAGGTGAAATGTCCACAATTACTGCCAATTATTAGCTTCATAACTTGTTGGTTAACTTAAAGCAAATTTTCTAAAAAGAATCCCTAAGAAAATTTTCTAAAAAGTACCACCAAAGGGACATTTGACTGTATGTGCGATAATAGGCAGACGTTGAAAATAAAATTACGGCGGAAGCGGTACAAAATGACAGCTGGAAGAGTGTCCGAGTATTAAATGGTGGCAATGGTGGCTGTGTCCGGCGCAGGTAGAAAGTGGGAAGTGAAAAGAGAAGCATTTTCCAAGATCTATCCGGGCCGATTGCAGGGTAATCAAGTTAATTAGAAACTTAACTTTTTTCGTGCACTTAACGACTTCTATTTGGAGGGGTTGGGGCTTCCTAGCAGCAACGTTTGGCCATCGGCACTTTACCTTCTCATCGCTTTTGCTTTGCTTGCATATTCTCATCAAATTAGACTTAATTGAACATCATTAAAGGCAAATTCTAAGAATTCATTTCGGGTTTCGTCGGTATCTAACAAAATGGCGTCTTACGATTTTGGGTTTCCATTTATTACGGTGTCAAGCAATTTAATTACAACCTGTCGCATGCATGGAGCAACACACAAAGTTCGTACATACATAGTTACTAACGAACACTTGTATATATGTATAATTTATGGGAGTATAAAACATGGCCTCGACAAGGGTTGGAAAGTGCATTCAGGTGCAGCATTTTCGAGATGACATATGGATGCTCGCCAAAGGGCACTTCCTCGTCAACTGTCACTTTTAATGACTTAAGCCCGCCATTTTGACAGGAGCGAAAGATTAATATGTTTCTCGTTTCGTTAAAGCTTCAGTGATTTATAATAAAGTGAAGTATTGGAATCGAAAACCTCCGACCAAAGCAACCCTTTTAAATCAAAAAACCTTGGAAAGAGCTTTTAAATATACCTCGACAAAATAAAAAAAAATTAATCTTAATAAGAGACTCTCTTTCTAAATTACTCTTTCTTCCATCTAAAACATATACTTTTTTACGTTAATTAAATAATTAATAAAAAATGTACATATATATAAAAAATTGAAAAGCTTTTATTTAAAATTCCTCTTTGTTTAGATATTTGTGTATTTATTTCCTTGTTTTTTTATTCGTATCTTTAGTTCACATCAAAGAAATTAATGAATTCATGAATAATTTTATTCGTATAGTCAGTTTTGTTAAGTAAATTACTTTTTGAATAATAAAAATATATTGTTTGAAGAAAATTAACATTTAAATTTAATGAAAGGATCACATAATGCTACATGGATCATCAATAATTTGATTAGCATAATGAAGTTTGTATTTCTATTGAAATAAAACGTTTGACCTTTATTTAAGGGTAGTTTGAAAACTTCCTTGAACGTTTAAAAATACCTTTGCAACAGCTGCTAATAACCACATGTCACATACGTAAGTAAGTTATAAAAGATACAGGTGTTTCAATTTTAATAATGCTACAGGGATCATTAATAATTTGATTAACATAATGAATGAGGTTTGTTAGTTCGTATTTCCATTGAAATAATACGATTGACCTTTATTTTTGGGTAGTAAAAAAACTTCATCAAACGTGTAAAGAAACCCATGCAACAGCTGCTCAGAAACAGGTGTTACATACCTTAGAAAGTTATAAAAGATACAGTTCTATCAATTTTCATCATAATTTGTTTCCGAAATAGTATTTTGCTTTAGAATGGTTTTACGAACGTTTTCCCATATCAGATATGGACACTTAATGATTTGGAGGGGATTCAGCTGTTTGGTGGTCGGGTCTGGACAAGGGCGATCTGGTATAGGATCCCGGAGTCTGGGGCCTCAAGTGCCCCCACCGACCGCAGCAAACACAATCGTTTGCTTGATTGACAGTCGGATTGAATGAGTGCATGTCATTCCCAGTTTCTGTTTGTGTGTGGAGAGAGTGGCCACTTGAAATGTAGCACTCAAGGCATGCATTTATTTGCGCAAACCGCAGGAAAAGAGAAGTTTAACTTTGAGGTACAGATTTTCTTAACTAAAAGCATCAGATGACGTATAGAAAGTTTAACCTCAAACGGCTTTTAATTAAATAAAAACTAGTTTTAGTTTTATACAGCAACAAAAACCGCAGTGGACATGGGATTTTAAAATATTTAATTTGCTTATATTTTTATATAAAATGAGTTCTTATTATTTTTCTTGTTATTTAAATCAAGCTTAATTTCCTTAATTTAATGTTAGATAAATGTTTCAGTTTATTTGTAATAATTTTACATTACATATGTAATAATTTAATTATCTGTTACTGTAATCCACTAAAATTGTAATCATTTTTCTGTTTAACAGAAATTGCCATTTATTGGGATCTACTGTAGCTGAAAAAGCAGCTCAAACGCGACGGAGAGCAAACAACAAAAGCACACACTTTTTGAAACAGAAAGACACTCTCGCTCTTTCGGAGAGTGGCAGCTGCAGCTGATCTTCAATTTTACGAACGTTTGGGGAGACAGAAAGGGCGCTCCACAGCGAACAGCGTCTCAAGGCAGCTCTTCCCGTAAGTGGAAGCGAGTAAGCGACAGATAAGAGCCAGATTGCCGCACTCCTTACACCTACCGGCTAAACCAGAGACCATCGGCACGAGACTTCAACTCGCAAATACACCGAAAAAACCTATTGCAATTAACACATATTTACAGTTTATTTATCATATAAAAAGTTAACCAATTTTGTTTTACTTGTTTTTGGCTGGGTATTCATTATAACAAAATATTGGTCTCAAGCAGAAAACTCAAAATGACCAGGCTCTGCAGAAAGGAGCAGTGCTTCCTTTGTGTTGTTGAAATCTAGGCCCTTAAATAGGGCCTTAAGCATTTTGCGTTATAATTCCACCAGAAAGAGCAGGCTAAAGCTTAAGACTCCACTATGAATTTAAGGTTTTTTTGTTGTAATACATATTTAACCAAATTCTAAAATTAAAGAAATTTGTTATTTCAACATTTAAAACTAATAATTACTTAAATGTAATAAATACTTTCTAAATTTGTAATTTTTAAAAGTAACTATTTAATTCGAATGTGTACATATACGTATTTTGCTCTCTGTATAGTCTCGGACTGGCCCGCGAAAGTGAAACACACGTTCGTTTGCCTGATGTTTGTTTGTCTGCCTGCGTGTTCTGTGTGAGTGCTTGCTTTTGTTTGCGTTGGCTTGGGAAAAAGATAACAAATGCGTTTTGCACGAGACTCGAAACGCTTGATAAGGAGCACACACAAAGCTCGTCAAACCAAAACAAAAATTTATACCAAGCACCCTAAGGGATATTACCAACCGGCTTATTGTTATCAGCGGTGAAAACACGTGCGATTAAACGGTTTAAATTAACCTCACTTACAAGTAATACGAAATCCATAAGATATGATTTCCTTTTTTTTTGTAACTTCTTATATGTATTTACATATAGGTACAATACAAAAAAGTTGTTCTCCAAAAAATTATACTGTTGACTTCATGCCAATTGGCATGTATGTGTAAGCAAAAAAGTTAGTCCTATACTTCAATAATAGGAAATAAACACTTACCCTCTTTTCGGCGCTGTCGCACGGATTGCTGAGACTCAAGGAAGAGGAGCTCAAGGACGAGGTGGTGGGTGCTCCGCTGGCCGTGCTGGGCGTGCTCATCTGAGGCAGAACATCCGTGGGCACGGCGTCCAGCTGCTCCTGCTTGATTCCGGCGATCAGTGGCAGGAAATCGTTCTTCAGCTGCTCCAAATCCATTTCCATGTCGACTGTATCCTAAGATTTCACCGCGTGGGCGACAATTTTTGGTGGTTTAAAATGTGGGCGTGCTAATTATAGCGCAATTTTGGTCGCCAAAAGTTTGCTCAACAGCTGCTGTCTGTTTGGAACAGCATTATGGTAATTATGTTGTGACTACAATTTTTGGGGGTAATTGTTTTGGATTAAATTGGGTAGTTAATCCATTCCAATGCACACACATTCACAGGCGCGCGCACCAACACACACACGCGAGCGAAAGCAAAAACAACGCCAATTTCAAGTGTAGGATTTTCACAAGCTTTTTTGCTGAGTTTTATATCGTTTATTCTTTAGGGACCGAGTGCTAGGGTCTTCATTTGGATGCTAATGCATTTTTATTTCACCTTCGACTTCTCGGCTTGCAAAAATATTCTCCCTCTCTTTCACGCAGAGCGACATCCACAACTTTCGTTTTACATATACACGTTCGTTCGTTCGAGTTTCGCTATTTTCCCGTCTGGCCGTCGCTTTTCTTTGGGCTGCGGCATTTCGCTAACACGCGCTATAATTGTTTATTCACGTTGTTAGTGCGTTTGGTGCGTTTTTATTAGCTTAATTTCCAGCGAAATCACACGGTCTCACGGCGTTTGCTCTCGTTGGACGCTTCTTCTGTACAAAAAATGTTCAGCCATTTTGGATTCAATTAATTCATGTCGGCGTTGCCAGTGCGTCGGAATTCAAGGGCCCTTACACACGGCCGTGTGTAACGCTTGCGTAAACGCAAGTGGTCACACTAAAAGGGACGTATGGCAGAGCTCTAATTGAGATAATTAGGAGGATTCCCTAACATTGCTATTTATTTAATTTATTTTGGCTAGTTTCGATTTTACTTTATGTTTTTTAAGTGTTTCACAACATTTTAGTTGTTTATCTGGAGGTGCGTAGTTCGAAGTCTGTTCTGTAAACCCGTTACGTTACGTTCTGTTTGGCGCCCAATTTGCGGCCACACTGTCTCACATTAATAAATAAATTAAGCTTGCATTTAATAAACTTTTTAATAATGATAAACTCAATTTAATTATAATTAAAATGTAAATGCATATGCAAAAACAAAATTAAAAAAAATAAAATACCCGGTGTTTGCGTTAAACAGCTGATCAGTACCAAAGCAAGAAGAAGAAGAAACACGTGTGGAAATTCCTCCTCTTCGAGTCCAGAATTGTTTATTAAATGTTTTTAAGCCAGCTATTAAATAGTTACGCCAAGGCAGGTTAATTAATATCACTTTAGTATCTTATCTGAATCTAAGAAGAGTCTTTACGCCTAATAGTACGCCTGAAATCAATCGTAAATCCCTGGTGTCGCAACAAATCCTTCGCTGCTGCTATGTCAGAGGCTCTGGACAAATTGGAGCTGGAGAAGGAAGCCCGCAAGGTGGCCAAAAACTTAGAAGATGAGGCTGTTAAGGACACAAATCGCATCAAAAGAAATCTGAAGCGAAAAAAGTGGGTTGACTGGAAAGCTCAGGACGAGCAGGATGCAGCTAACGGCGTTAAACGGGCGCCTTTCGATCCTGCCGATCGCATCAAGCGTAAGAAGAGCGCCATTTTACTAAGCTACTGCGGGGCCAACTACTACGGGATGCAGCGCAATCCTGGCATGCAGACCATCGAGGAGGAGCTATTTAAGGCAATGCTCAAGCACAAGTGGATAACGGAGGACAGCTTCGAGCAGGTGCAGATCGCCTGCTTTCAGCGAGCAGCCCGCACGGACAAGGGCGTCTCTGCTGCCCGCCAGGTGTGCTCCGTCAAGCTGCGTAAGTCTCAGGGATCTATTCCGCTTTGAAACTTTTTCTGTTATAAAATGGATCAAGATTATTTAAAATCATTACATTTTTGAAAACCTTTACGTTTTGTAGGTTTTTCGAAGCATAGAATGTTTCTTTAAAAATAAAAATAGTATTGTTAGAACATAATAATCTTTAAATGTTCTAACCAGAAGTCTGATATCTCATATTCTCTTTATAAATAATAAGTACTTTAAAAATCATATCTCTTTCCATATACTATATTTCCAGCCGAGGAACTGGACTTGGAGGCCTTCAATGCCGATCTGCCCGAGCAGATACGACTTTTTGGAGTGGAGCGCGTGACCAAGGGCTTTAATGCCAAGGATCAGTGCAACGCCCGGACATACACCTATACATTGCCGACAATGGCCTTTGCATCCTGCGAAGAAAAAATTGAGGACTTGCACGACACTTTTCGCATTTCACCAGAGCTGCTGGAGAAAGTTAGGAACACCCTGAAGCTTTACGAGGGCACAAAGAACTTTCACAACTTTACTAGCAAGAAGTAAATTAAAAAAGGTTATACAGTTAATTAGTTTATCTAATAATTTTTATTTTCTGGCCCTGTAGAAACTTTCTGGATCCCTCGTCCAAGCGCTTTATCATGTCCTTCACCAGCAGCGATCCATTCCAGAGCCCTCAGGGAATTGAGTTCGTCACTTTGAAGGTCAAAGGTCAGAGTTTTATGCTGCATCAGATCCGAAAGATGGTGGGTCTGGCCATTGCTATTGTAAGGGGCAACACAACGACGACGAGTTTAGAGCGGGCACTGACGGAGGAGCGCCTTGACCTGCCAATGGCTCCTGGATTGGGTCTGGTGCTGGACACGGTACATTACGAGCGCTACAACGATCGCTACGGCAAGGATGGCATCCATAACCCACTGACGTGGCAGGCACAAGAAACGCAAGTGCAGGAATTCATCGAACGCGAGATCTTTAGCCAAATCTACAAGACGGAGGCCGAGCAGCGTAATATGCTCGATTGGATAGGAACATTGCATTACCACTCGTACGATACGCGAAAGGATGACGCTCCTCCAGCTCCTACGGATGGAAAAAAGGGCAAGGATGGGGATGATGACGACGAGGAATGAGCGTATTGGATGGGCATTTTTTTATAAAGCCAATAAATGATTTTATAAGTTGAAATTGGACTTTAAAATAGCAAGCACTTACAATGTTTTTTAATAAAAAAAAAATATTGTTTTATCCGGGATTAGGATTTGTTGGTACAAATGGTTGTACTAAAGTTTTAGACGGAAGATATGTTATTTAACAATTGTAATTACTTTGATATCTAGGTTAAATATTAATTCATTATTGTTTTCCACTAATCATAGCCCAACCTAAATTTCAAGTATTAAACAATAAGATAACATGCTGTTTGTTTAATTATCGTTTGACAGTATAAAGGCATTTTTTATAGTCAGTTTTAACCTAGAAACGACCGCCCTTCTTTTTTTTGTGGCCACCCTTGCGGTGCTGTTGCCTAGGTCCTGGGGTTGTCTCCTGGTAAACGGGCGTGGCTGGGGAGTTCTTGCTTAGATTGACGCGGTTGGACATATCGCTGTGAAGGTATGTTTAATTAGAAAAGCTATCTACCGGTTAGCCATCTCGAAAAACTTACTATTGATCGGCTGCTCCTGAGGACATGCCCTGGGACCCCTTGATCACGTCCTTGCCTCGCGCTCCGCCTCGTTTCTTCCGGAAGCCAGTGCGCTCGTATTTGGGCAACCACCGCTCCGGATCGGGAGCCACTTCGGCATTGTAGTTCTTGGGCAGCTTGCCCTTGCGTTTCCTGTTATGGTTCTTTCTCTTCTCCACGGGAGTGCTTGGTGAGGGTTCGATCTTGGCATTGGCAGATTTCTTGGCCGCCTTGGCAGACATCACCCAGTTAGCCGCCTCGAGTGCATCAATTTCGGAAGCCGTGGTCAGTGTCTCCAATTTGGGCAGTTTTCTGCTGAGCTCGAGTGCCCGCTTTGGCTGGAACTGAGCATAGGCGATGACCAGCTGGGCCAGAACCTTGGTGTCGTTGGGGTTCAGCTTAAGCAGCTCCTCCAGCGAGCTGGCTGCCGTTTCAGAGGCGCCCCCGCGCAAATGGAACTCGGCTGCCTGGCGCCACATGTCCGACAGATCGCCACTGCTCACGTTGTTCTTCTTGTACCAGTCGACGGCGGATTTGAGCAGCGCCGAAGCAGCTGTCTTGTTGTCCGTGCCCAAGTAAAGGGACACAAGAGCCGAGACAATACCAGGTTTGTACTTGGCCTCACCCAAAGACAGAAGTGTCTCAATGGCATCCTTGCGGTTGCCCTGAAGGAAAATGGAAAGATGGTAAGACTTCAATATAAATCCCTCCCTTAAAGATTGACTTTACCTGTAGCAATTGCAGCTGAATTACGGCAAACTTGCTGATAAAAGCATGGGATTTGTGGGAGGCTGCAAACTTCTGGAGCTGCTCAATGGCTTCCTTGTGCTTGCGATCCTTGGCTAACTGGCTGCAGCGAATGAGCAGTGCCTCGAACTCTACCTGTGGGTAGCTTGTGGCCAACTTCTGACTGATTTGCTGCACCTGATCGCCGGCATTGGTGTATAAAGCCAGCAAACAGTTGTTGAGAGCGATGACTTGCTTCTGGCGAGAGGTCAACTTGGGTTCACACGCATCGGCCAAAGCGGCACGGATCTTCTTCTTGGAGTCGAACACGTTCTGGTCCTTGTTGATCACCACCGAGTTGTTGCTGGCCACGGCCACCAGAGCTGCGTCCTTGGGCTTGTGGCGAAGGCAGTCCGCGTAGATGGTGCCCGCCTCCTTGGTCTTGCCCTGCAGCTGCAGTACGTAGGCGAGCTGGACGCGTATAACGTCCACCTCCTCTTGGATTTCCTCCTCGGAGGCTCCCTCCTCCTCGAGGAACTCGCGACAGAGCTTTTCGCTAGTGCGCAACTTGCGCTCCGCCTCGGCGTATTTCTGGCGATTGGCCTGAATGCAGGCGCTGTTGAAGTATTGCTCATAGGTGTCCTCCGGCACCTGGGGCACCTCCTTGGCTTGGTCGACGGCCAGGTTGGCAGCAACTGCGCTGAGATTGGTCCGCCGCTCGTCCTCGTATTCATCGCTGGTGTTCTTGATGATGTCACGATAGGCATCCAGGCACTCATCGTACCGCTCCAGGCGATACAGTACCTGGGTACGCAGCTCCTTTAGGTTCGGCGGCAAAGGTTGTAGGCCCGTGTCGTCGATAGTCTTCAGTGCCTGCTGCTGCTTGTTCAGACGGTACTCGCAGTAGGCTTTCTCGAATGACAGCGAAGTCAGGCGGTTCTTCTCGATGAACTTGTAGGCCTCTTCGAACTTGGACAGCTGCACCAGGCATACCACCTTGCAGTGAAGGGCCGTGGGGTCATCGGGAGCCACTCCCAAAACTAAGAAATATGACATTGAGTTAACTTGGAGTGACTGGGTAGTGTGTCCCATCACTTACTGCGGTTCACTGCCTTGACTGCCTTGTCGAACTCGCGATTATTGCCGAACTTGTGCACGTCGGCGTAGGCCGCCTTGATCAACGCCTCCTTGGGATTGGCGTCCTTTGACATCCTGTTTGTTTAGCGGTCAATAGAGGATGAAATATCTTTATTTTACGGACTTCAACTTTCGCCTCTGAATTAACATGCAACTTTTGACAGTTGTAGACACATCAGCAACTCGGCGTTGCCAGAAGGGTGGTTATGTCAACTCAATAAGAACCGGATCGCGGGGACTTTTCAAACATTTTTTTATTTTGTATATTTTTACTTGTATTTTTTACAATAATTGAATTACTTATGAATCAATTGATGTTAATTCTTAATTTTAATCTTTTTCGACATACTTTTAATGTAAAACTCTATTCTGAGCCTCTGGTATTTTTATCAGCCACACAATTGGTCACACTATTCCAGCTTCATTGGCGACGCCTTGCGCGATACTTTTGATCCACTCTGTGCCTGGATTAGATTTTTTGGAAAATGTCTGCCGAGGTAGATTTCGTCAACAAGAAGGAGGTGCATCTCCGAAATCTAAAGCAGTCCGGTCATGTGGGATTCGACAGCTTGCCGGACCAATTGGTCAACAAGAGTGTCCAGAATGGATTCGTCTTTAACGTCATGTGTATAGGTGTGTATATCGAGTGCAATTTCTGTGTATGAGTGTGTATGCGGCACAGTGAATCAACCGAAGTTTTGCCTGCATGTAAAAACAGTGGTGGCCAATACAATAGCACTGAATTTTCCGAAACCTTTAAAAAATTATATGACTTAAAGTTTGTCCTAAACCTATTTTCTGGTGAAGCTTAAGCGTGTTAACTTATTTATATTGTAACGAGTTTATAAGCAGAGTCAAATTGTGTAGTTATCAGTTTGCAAACATAAAGAACTTCTCAACTGTAAGAAACAATATTCACCTGCTTTCTCAAGTTGTTTATCGTAATTCTTTGAAATTGACCTGGAAATGCTGCTACCTATGTTATTGACATCTTTCTTTAAAAAAATACATATTTTTAAAAATTGATATGCCATTACAAGTTAAAAAATGTGGATATACAACAATTTTCATTTGAAAATCTTAGTCTTCTCACATTGACCACCGCTGTGGTATGTACTTAAGTGTCTCATATTGGAGTGCATTGCTCAGATAAAGTGAATCACCTACATATATGCGGGTAAACAATTGAAATGCCTCGACCAGACGCCCAGCTACGATTAGTATGCAGAGTGGCCGGCAATCGATTTCCCCCACTGCTTTCTACAATTTCACCCTGACACCAATGCCGTAGCTTTTATCGCCAATTGAGCCCACTAGGGCGATGATTCCCCCTAAGCTGACACCATTCTGACCCTCAATCTTTCCTCTTTGCAGGCGAGACCGGATTGGGCAAGTCCACTTTGATGGACACGCTTTTCAACACCAGTTTCGAGTCCACGCCGAGTCCCCACACTTTGCCCAGCGTCAAGTTGAAGGCCCACACCTATGAGCTGCAGGAGAGCAACGTGCGGCTCAAGCTTACCATTTGCGACACGGTTGGCTATGGCGATCAGATCAATAAGGACGACTCGTTTAAGGCGGTGGTCGACTACATCGACGCCCAGTTCGAGAACTATCTACAAGAGGAGCTGAAGATCAAGCGATCTCTGGTCACATGCCATGACAGCCGCATCCACATCTGCCTGTACTTTATCTGCCCCACCGGGCACGGGCTTAAGTCACTGGACCTGGTGTGCATGAAGAAGCTGGACAGCAAGGTGAACATCATTCCAGTGATTGCCAAGGCCGACACCATTTCCAAGGTGGAGCTGCAGCGGTTTAAGGCGAAGATCATACAAGAACTGAATACCAACGGAGTGCACATCTATCAGTTCCCCACCGACGATGAGACGGTGGCCGAGACGAACACCAGCATGAACTCGCACATTCCCTTTGCCGTGGTCGGCAGCACGGAGTTCATTAAGGTGGGCAACAAACTCATCCGCGCTCGCCAGTATCCTTGGGGCACGGTCCAGGTGGAGAACGAGACGCACTGTGACTTTGTAAAGCTGCGTGAAATGCTCATTCGCACCAACATGGAGGATATGCGCGAGAAAACGCACACGCGGCACTATGAGCTCTACCGGCAGAAGCGACTCGAGCAGATGGGCTTCAGCGACGTGGACAGCGACAACAAACCGATCTCGTTCCAGCAGACGTTTGAGGCCAAGCGCTCAAACCATTTGGCTGAGCTGCAGTCCAAGGAGGAAGAGGTGCGTCAGATGTTTGTGCAGCGGGTGAAGGAGAAGGAGGCCGAACTGAAGGAGAGCGAGAAGGACCTGCATGCCAAGTTCGAAAAGCTGAAGCGAGACCACGCAGAGGAGAAGCGCAAGCTAGAGGAGTCGCGCAAGGCGCTCGAGGAGGACTACCTCGACTTCCAGCGGCGCAAGCAGCAGCTGGCCACTGCCCACCATACGCTCACCCTCGGCAAAAATAAGAAGAAGTAGGAGCCGGCGTCGCCGCCGAGCAATGTATTGAGAATTCTGTGCGGTTCGCTTATCCCAAAGTAATTATTGCTTTCTCATCTCGTTGTCTTTCATTTGTACTATTAAGTTTACTTCAAATATTAACATATACACAACTACACGCATATGTACGCAGACATATATGATTATGTATTTACAACTAACGAATAAATCGAACTTAGTATTTTAACAAAGTAAATTAATGAGTTTTGTGGGGTTTTTATTGTATATTTTTTTATTGTTCGAAAATTAACTTTTTTTATACCTACCAAATTTTGAATCCTGGATTCCGTTTCCATATTCTTGGTTGATTGATTTTAGCTAAATATGTAATATCAACCTTACCAATTTAATAAAAAAATTTAAATGTTTGTGATACAGTTGAAGTCTTTAAAAATGGTAAAACAAACCAGGTTTCATAAAACATACAATTTTTAAGTCGAATTTGATTGATACTTTTTGTGTAAATTGTTGTGTTAAAATGACACACGTTTAATCAATTAATCAATTTTTAAAAGCTAATGTAGTTATTGAGATTTTGTCGTGCATTATAACTCTCTTTTTGAATTCAGCAAAAGCCGGAATAATCACAGGCAGTAAGCCCATTTTATGACTGTTTCTGTCTGGCCACCTGGCCACACTAATTTGCTACTCATCCACTGCAGCCTGCAAAAATTGTAGAACAAATTAAAAACGCAATAATAGAATCGGCACAGCGAAATTAGTAGAGAGCAGTGCTTGAAATCCAAACGAAAGCAATTAACCGTGTTCAACTTAGCTAATAGGTCGTGAGCGCGGGTGCAAAAGTGAGAACAAGTGAGACACCCCTTTGTGTTTGTTTTTTTCGTTATAAATTTTGTTTGTTGCTCGAAGTGGGGATTTAATGGTGAAAGGGGGGAAGTCGGGGAATTTTCCATAATAAGCATCGAGTGGACGGGAAATTCCGATCGGTCTGGCGAACATGTCGCTGATATCGTCACTGGTTTTCTACGCTCTTTTGCAGTCAGGTATGGTTAAAGAATAATGGAATAATGGTTGTAATAGTGAAATCAATAAGCATCGAAAAGGGGTCAAAATTAATTACTTTTTTTTTATTCCAGTCACCTGCTATACGGTCCTAATTACGGCCCCCAGTCAGGCACTCATCGGATCCTCAATCAATGTCTCCGCCCAACTACTTGATGATGGAAGACCAGCTGCGAAGGGATCCTCCTACAAATTCACCTGGAGCGACAGTGCTGGCCATAAGAAGGTAACGATTCCGCACTACGATCCCCTCCAGAACGTGATCAGACAAAGAACGAAAGCTTTTCGAGAAGGGTGAAATGACTAATGGCCTGCAAATGCAAATGCAAGCAAGTCTATCAGGCCAGAGTTTACGGTCTACGCCCATTAAACTGGCTCATAAAACTGGTCAGGAAAGCTGTTTCAGGTGCTTCACCCTCTCCAATGCAGTACTTAACGCAAAGAGGAATTCATAACAGTCGCAATATCTTTCCCCAGCAAATATCCCAACGTTTTGCGTTATCGGTTGAAGCGAAGCTTCTTTGAAGATTTACAGATAAAGCTATCAGATAACGATAAATTTTAATGCAATGTCTGATTTACCACATTTAATTGTGTTTTTTTTTTCATTTTGACTCTTCACTCTTTCCCAATCTCTTAATAATAATATTTTAATAAGATTCAGATAGCGTTACTTCGTCGGAATCAGATTTAAATTTAGTTCATATCTGATAATGCAAATTTTCTAAACTTAAGTTTACTCGGTAAACTAAAACGAAAAATCTTTTTCCAAAAAACACTTTCCGTTTCGATTGAAAGGCTTTGCTAAACGGAAGATACATATTTTCAATACTCTAAGCCAATTTTTCCCAAATTTGCCGGGACCGCGACTCATCTATACGAAAAATTGCAAGATCTATACGACACTTAGAACCCACCCAAAATCTACCCGCGACCCACACTTAGGAAAATACTGCTCTAAGCCTATGTTCAGAATTGCAAACAGACGCGCACTTTTCCAGTTTTAATCTCAGCCATGCGGCGTCAATTGTTATGGCGTCACTGCGTTTAAAAGCTTATTTTACGCAATTACTATTCAGCGACAGTTTTCCCGATTGTGCCTGGTACGTGGCCGTATCAGCGGCATTTGTTGGTTACTATTGTAGAAAAATTTGCATGTAGAATTAGTTTTAAACTGCTAGCAATTATATTAATCAATTGCCTTTGTGTCTGCAGGTGATTGAAACTACCAATACCACCAGCAATTGGACCGTGGTCTACACGCAGGACCAACCCTCGACGCATACCCTTAAAGTCGAGGTGGAAAAGATCTTCATTTTTTGGGTCACTATTGCCAAGGCCCAGCAAGAAATAAAGCTAGATAACTTGTTGGGTGGAAGTTTGGATTTAATTCAAAACAATGTAACGCGACCGCATGAGTTTGTGTCCACGCAGGAGGCGGTGAATCATAGTATATCGCTAAGCGAGGCGGATCTGGCGTTTCTGCGAACAAAGGGCTATTACATCCGGACGTATTGGTTTCAAAACTGTACATATCTCGGCATGTCTAGTGCCCTGGACTATCAGGCCACATATCCGAAAGCTGAGCAATACTATGACGTTGAGGCTCTAGTAGTGGCCTCGTTGGAGGCACCGCCGGAGCCAACGCCCTCAACCACGACCACAACGACAACAACTACTACCACTACAACTACCACGACAACAACAACGACGACAACAACTCCCGCCACAACAACATCAACTTCAACAACACCTGCCACAACAACCACCACTCCAAAAACCACAACAGCTTCTACAAGTACGACATCCACAACGCCAAAGCCGCCAGCTCGTTCCAAACGAGATTTAATCCAGGCCATGCACGCCAATGCCGCGATGCTGGGCATCAATCTAACCAGCGCTCTGAAACAGCAGAAGAACTCCGATGGAAACGTGTCTGTGGCACTGGTCAATCCGCTGGGTGTGCAGAGGCTGTCCAATTTGACTGTGCTGCCCGGCAGCCAGCCGCCCTTCGATTGCGTGAGCAAAAAGTTTGTGGCCCAGGATCCGAAGCAGATCTACGGCTACTTCCAACACCGCGTTGTGTCCAAGGGTGAGCTAATCCTTGTTTAAGGAAGATTTTTCAGTTACTAAACTATCCTCTCACAGATCCCGTCAGCGGTTTCGGTACTACGGGCAAGAATTGGTTGCAGCACTGGGAGATGCTTCAGCTCAATGTCAACTGCAAGGGATCGCCACCGTTTAAGCTTTGCAGTCTAGTTTATACGGGTGAGTCGACACTGCAAGCATACATTATTTTACTAATTTAGCAGGGTTCAATATCAAAATTGTTGTCCTAAGATTTTTGAAATTTTTAAGAGCTTCTTATTTAATGTATATTTTTATAACAACGGCCGCCAAAGTTAATATTATAAATTTAAACATTATTTGAGCCCATGCTAAAATGTATCTCAAACGTAAAGGTTGTTATAACTACGTTAGTACTGTAATGTTCATGTTTATCTATAGTAATTAGTAATAATATTTATTTTCTCCTTCCAGCGCCCTACAATTCGACAGGCAATGAGACATGCGATCATTTTGAGCCACTCGAAAATTGCTCATATGTGTACAAGCGCTACTTCAGCGAAAGCAAGACGATTTTGTTCTTCATCCGCAATGAGGTCTCCCAGACACTCAATCAGGTCACCATTAACATGTATGAAGGTGAGGAAAAATATTTTTTATCGGAGCCTAATCAATGTTTGTTTAATATTTAACTATTTACTTTACTTGCAGCCCAGCGTCAGTCTCAGCTTTCAGTCGTAGTTGTACCTGTAACTTGCACACTCGTGGCCGTAATTCTGGTAGTTTTTGGAGTGGCCTTTTATATTCAGCGTGGCAATCGGTGAGAACTCGGGATTTGATGTAGCAAATACCTTCTACAATCTGTTCTTCTCCACAGCTTTACTGTTGAAGTGGCTGATTTTAATTTCGGCGATACTCAGTCAGTTGACATGGAGTACAAGACGTTCTCTCAGCGTCTGATCGATAGCATCCGGGATGCCTGGACGTGGCCGGGTCAGCGTCGTCATTCGCAGTCCAGCGCAGATCTCATGGCGGACGAGCAGCCCAGCCCGGGATTCGCCGGCAATGTGGGCGACGTCGATAGCAACCTGCGCTACAACACATTCAACTAGGTCCCCGAGGGATTCCGTTGGAATATTGTTACCTATGCAAATTAACCATTTAAATTTAATTTCGGCGCTTAAGTTATGAGAAAACCTGGCCCAAAATCCCTTCAAATTTTCTGAAAACGCAATTGTTCTGTGAAATTGTATTGTTTAAACCAAACTTTTGGTTTAAAATCCAAGGCAATCACCGTCAAGAGATCGGACTCGAAAGCGGGATCAGGTGTGATAGTTATTTGTTATTATTTGTACGTGCACTCTCATGTGCTTTAGTCATTTTCTTGTTGTACACCAGCACCTTGGGATCACCACCCCAGTTGTACATGAATAGAGATGATAGAATCTTTTTTACGTTTCCATATACTTTATCTCTTACACTTACGTTTTCATTGTAATCATCTCTGTCCATCACCTACGCACACACTTGCTCATAAATGGCCAAATGTCGAGTAAAAAGCAAACATTTAAATCGTAATATCGGGCGTGCAGCACGGTTCGGGAAGGCAACTGCAAACCCTTACGGATATTGTTAAAGACTGTCTTTGTTCCAAAAGCAAAAAGAAATCTGGTAAAATTTACACTTATGCGTAAAGAGCTGTTTGTAGCGAGTTATATGCTAACAAAAGTGTATCTGATTGTTTCCATTACATCGAGATCAAAATTCGCTCACAAAGACAAACGCATCTCACACTGAAATACACGCGACACAAATATTCATTGTGATAGATATAGAACAAACAGTATGTATGTTTAACTAAAACAAAACGTTTAAAGAAAACCATATACTTATAAAGCTAATTCGTGTTGTTTTTTTATTTTTTCGCTATTGGGAAAAGGTTGGCACCATTAACTGGATCAGGTAAGTAGGGATTCCTGAAGCTTATTCGCAAGTAATAAAGCATTTTCGGGGAATCCTCTACATATACCTAGAGTTGAGAATTTCCTGGGTTATTTTTTGGACTAAGGAGTCTTCCGTCAAACGGTCTGAAAATCTCGTTTCTTTGTTGAAGTTCCCGGGATGCATCATCTTCCCCAAGCCATCCTAGACTGTGGTCAATATATGAAAATTTGAAGACGTCCCAGATAAAATACATTTTAGAAAATGGCTTATTTTTTATATTTTTTTGACAGTAGCGGATTTTACTCGATTTCGCTTTTTTTTAAATTTAAATTTTCTAAGCTGCAAAATAAGTCTTAAAATATTGAGACAATTGTGAGTTAGTTTAAAATAAATCTGTATTTAAAGGATTCCGCAATTATTTATCACCAGTTAAATTTGGCGCTACAATCGGAAACCAAAAGCACGGCGAAAAACTCTCAAGCGGCGAATTGATTTTTCCGTATTTTGGTATTTTTCCCGTTAGCACCCGTTGGTATCATCGTAAGATTTTCCGAGACGTTTGGCGGATAACTTACAATAATGTTTTTAAATGAAATTGGTCAGCCTTTCATTCTGCAGAAAGGGGTCAAGTATAATTCTTACGAAGAGGTGCGTAATATAATTACATTGGGAGAGTTTAAAATGTTCTCCAATTTCCAGCACCGTGGAGCTTTGCTCATCTCATCAGCCGCCTACAAGGATCATGTAGTTCCAGAAAATTGGTCCGGATGCGTCATAGGATCTGAACAGGACATACTTCGACTTAAATTTCAGGGCGAAGGCAATAACTACTCAGAGAAGTGTAAATACATTTATATAAGACCAAATGAACCCACCCAAATAGACAACAATGGAACCGTGATCACGATTACATTGATACCGGCGGGAAAAAACAAAAATGAGTTGGAATCGATATTATACTATATTGAAAGTTGGTATTCGCCACATGCCCTAATAACTGCTGTGAAACTAACAAAGTCCATTTGCAGATGGACTAACAAGATATGTAATTGTGGATCGGCTGTCCGGCTATCTGGACTTTTTGCCCAAGGCCCATGATTTCTTTCGCAATGGCCTTGGCCTTGGAATCGATGTCCTTTACATAGACGAAGAGACACTGGATGAGAACGATTTGAATGAAGACATATACAGCTTGGTGCACCTCATAAAGCCAAAGTTCATTTACGGGTTGAGAGGGGGCAAATTACCCAAGTGGCTACAGGACTTGCGGCGGATTCAAGACATATATAAAATATAAATAAAACAAAGTTTATGGTAGAAAATGATGCATTTAAAACGAAAGATCTTTTAACAGTCACATAAATCTAGCTAAGACCTACACTCCCCGACTAACCCTTTGTCGCCTTGGCCTTGCTTTTCACCTTCTTCACCCGCTTAAGACCATCCATTTTGCTCTTCATAAACTGCGAGTACATGCTCATCATGGCGGGCACATCCTCCTGCTTCACAACGGTGGATATCTGCCGGAAATTTAGTATTTAAAAAAATGTTCGGAGGAAGTTAGACCAACCTCACCTTTTGCGATTTCGACTGGGCTCGAATCAGGCACATGTAGGTTTCCGGTTTGGGTAGCGGAGGCCGTCCTGCTCTAGGCACGGGTTTATCGTGGCCATCATCTAAGGATTGTTAATTCAAAATCATTTGTTAATCCACAATACCATGTTTTTTGGGGCCACTACTTACAGCGTTTGAATGTCAACGTGAAGGAGGAGTCTTTCTTGGCCGCATTCGCGATCTTCTCCAGACGCAGGATAAACTGCAAATAAATACCAATATATAGTCATTTGTTTGAATAGTTATTAATTTATTTACGTTCGAGTTGTCCAGCAAAACCATTTCGTGGCAAATAAAACAGGCGAAACGAGAAAAGTGACACTGACAGATGACCCGGGATTTTTTAGGTAGAACTCGCCAGGGCTGCACAAGCTCTTGTTTTGTAGCTACAAATGTATATTAAAAATGTATAAGGACTTATTTATTCATTTTAGCTTATAATCAAAATATATGTGTGTTTTTAAAACTACGAAACTAACACTTTTAACCTAAAAGGTTCTAAAAAGGGCGCCCTAATCGTTATATTTTCCCTTTTTTTATCGCAAAAAAAAATCAAAAGTCAACTGACCCGGGTTAAGCCTTTTTTCAGCATTTACCCCAAAAAAAAAATAAGTCATGGTTAAAATTTAATTAAAAACAATACGTTTCATGTCGTGGTTCTGTTACATTGTTTGAAACAAATAAATATAAATACTTTAAAAATATCGCGACAGCGCTTAAATCCAGATGGTGGTGGCTGAGCCTCAACTATCGGTACTATCGATAGTACTATCGATGGTTTGACAGCTCTAATTGGTTGAGAAAGCAGCAGAAAAAGGCTATAAAAAATCGTAAAACTACGAAAACGTACAAGTGCGGGGCAACTGAGGAAGCTGTTGCACAAACACACACTCACTCACATACACGCCGTACCGCGAGCCGCACGCCACGCCCACCCGCGCCCGCCCCCAACTCCAGTCGAGCGGGACAGCAGGAAAAAAGAAGCGCCCAGCAAGCGAAATAGGAAAATTCCAGCCGATCGAAACGAACGCCCGCGACCGCCAAAGGAAGCGCCGCCCACGCCGTCAGTTTTTGGATTAGCATCGATCTTCTAGCAACCTGGTAAACGCGCCTCAAACAAGCCGTCGCAGCCCCGTAGTCAGCGCCACAAACTCCGCAACATGGTGAGTGGATCGTCCAGTTTTATTGGCAACCATGGTGCAGTGCGTCCTAAGAATTCGTGTCTGAGTAACACACCCTCGCCATCTGTTCATATCGCCTATTTGTTTCCTGTGTCGACATGCATGACACACTGAAAAGCAGCCACTGAACTTTGACCGAATCAAAACGAGCACCTAAAAACACTTTACCCGCTCTCTTTTCCAGGACGTGTTCCTCATGATCAGGCGGCAGAAGACCACCATCTTCACGGACGCCAAGGAAAACACAACGGTGGCCGAGCTGAAACGAATGATTGAGGGTGAGTGTTGTCTTCTATTTATAGAACCGAATTATTGGGTAACTCCATGACTGACCATTTCCCACGCACTCGTAGGCATACTAAAGGTGCAGCCGGTGGACCAGCGGTTATACAATCAGGACAACGACGTCATGGACGACGAGAGCACGTTGCAGGACTACGGCGTGACGGTGTCCACGGCCAAGGCGCAGGCTCCGGCGCAGCTGGGCTTGACATTCAGGTGAGCGATTCGCTGATAAGCCGCCTGCGGGTTATCTAGCGGACAAGGCGGGCGAGCAGCACGTGTACTGCTTACAACGGGCTTACAGAAACTTTATTCCCCCTTTTTTTATGTTTAGGAACGAACTGGGCGACTTTGAGACACTGGATATGACGCCCTACTCGGCACCACCAGACTTACCCGAAGTGATGAAAAACCAAGAGGCCTCGAACGGACAGGAGCAGGTTGCATAAAGCAGCAGCAGCAGTCAGTCAGTCAATCACCCCTACGAGAACAACAAAACAGCAGCAAACACATCATCAAAAGCAGCAGCAGCAGCAGCTGCAACAAAACGAGACAAACTAAATTCGCTAAATCCAGAGACTCTTAACTACTGTCGCTCGCTTTGTCCCCCGCAAACGAAACGTACGAAAATCCGGACGGAAAAGGGAGATCTGTCTGCGATTCGCAAACTCCCTGCCTGGTCAAAAAGCAACAACTGCAGTCGCAGCCGCAATAGCTAAATATGCATTTTTCGTTGTTTATAGCAAGGAACAATTCACTACGGTTCCAACACAAAATTGTACTTTGGAATGGGATTTATAATATTCGGCTTTAACTTTACACACCCAACCCCCCACTTGTTTTGTTTCTTTTTAATGGAATTTATACGAATTTGTTGAGAAAATACACAAAGTCATAAAAAGTAAATGTGCGAACTGAGCGAACGTGCAGCAATTTCAATACCCGATCCGCTTGATCCTTCGTAAGCAGAGGGAATATTTCAAGAATATTGGGATCTAATTATATTATAATTTATAATCAAATCATTATTTTTGTAATAATAAGATTTAATTATTATTAAAAACCAACGAAAAAACCCCCGTCCACCGGCTAATCACTCTCGTCCAGCTCGGCCGTCATTGCGGCCACTTCGGCGTCGTTGTCGTCCTCCGCTCCGCTGTCCACGAATGAGGCATTGCCGCTCTGCTGCAGCTCCTGGTGCTCCAAGAACTCCTGCAGTCGGTCCTGGAAGAAGTTAATAAACGTCTGCTTTTGCTGCGCCGTCGCCGGGAAGTAGTGCCCGCCACTGTGCTCCAGCAACTCTGGGCTTTTGAAGTGCGCAGCCAGGGATTCGCTCATCTCCTTGGGAATGATCTCATCTGTCTGGCCGTAGATGTGCAGCGTGGGTATGGTGATGGCCTCCTCGTAGGCGCTCATGTGTACCAAGCTGCCGGACAAGAATCCAGAGGAGAGCACCGCAAACTCCGGCCGGATTGAGGTCACTGTGAGTAGTTAGTTATTTGTATTGATCTTGGAGTTATCAACATTTTCAAGGCATACACTTCTTTTTGGCCAGTCCGCAAATTAGGCCCACGAAACAGGCCCCCTGTGAGAAGCCCAGCAGTCCCTGAAATGGACCCTGCGTACGCCACGCCTCCTCGACAAGGCGCAGGCTCTCCTGGAAGCCAAAGGCGGGCCCTCCCTTGTTTGTCCCCTTGAAGGTTCCATCGTCCTTATTCGCCCACCAGCTTCTCTGCTCAGGCACAGGCTCCGCCGCCGACTCCAGGGCAGCGGCCACGTGCGGCGCCGTGATAAACACAAACTCAGCGTACTTGGAGGCGAACTTGCGAAAAGATCCCAGCTTGCTTTTGAAGGCCTCCCCGTTCTGGCGGTATCCATGCAGGCATAGGACACGAACTTTCTCGGTGATTTCCAGTTTTGGCTGCTGTTTGCTGCCGCCAGCCCGACTGGAGCTGGCTGCCTCCGCCGTCGCATTATTGTTGGTCATGTTTGCAAACTGTTTTATCTAATGTTTTGGGTTTTAAAGCAGGAAACAAATAAAAATAATAATCAAGGTTATGGCTTAATAGAGACGGTCCGCTATCGATAACAAAAGCGCACGACCGTCTGGCAGCTCGAAGCCAAATAAACGTACCAGGTGGCACCTCTACGACAAGAATGCCGCATTTTTTACGTAAAACTTATTTTCCGTAAATGCAACAAGTTTTCCGTGCTCTTCCACTCGATATAATTGAATCTTTGAACGGGATTTACGATCTATAGAGGCAGGATAACCATCGGGACCATGATCTACACCACCACGCTGCTGTCTTCGCGGGGCGGCCTTATCGGCTCGCTGATGAACAAAGTCAGGCAAGTTGTAGCCAAAGATCGGCAACCCAGTGCTCCATCTACTGCCAATGACACCGACCACAGACCCCTCGCACCTCTCCACAGACCTTTGGCCGCCGCCAACATCAGCAACACCGCGCCGGTCCAGTCGAAAACGCTGGAGGAGCAGGTGGGCCTACCGCCGCGGCCCAAGAAACCGCTGACACCCTACTTTCGATTCATGCGCGAACAGCGGCCCAAACTGATGGCTGCCAATCCCAAAATAACGACCATCGAAGCCGTGCGCCAGCTTTCCAAGAACTGGTCTGATGCTGACGCCCAGCTAAAGGAGCGCCTGCAGGCAGAGTTCAAAAGGGACCAGCAGATCTACCTGGAGCAGCGAACCAAATACGATGCTACGCTCACCGATGAACAGCGGGCCGAGATCAAGCAGCTCAAGCAGGACATCGTGGACGCCAAGGAGCGCAGGCAGCTCCGTAAACGGGTTAAAGAGCTCGGGCGACCCAAGAAGCCCGCCTCCGCCTTCCTGCGGTTCATAGCCAGCGAACGCACCAACACGCCGCAGGGTGACAAGCAAACCTACCGCGAGTGGCACCAGAAGACCACGGCAAAGTGGACCCGCCTGTCCGACTCCGAGAAGGAGGTCTACATGCAGGAGTCGCGCAAGGAGATGGAACTCTACAGGTGCGTGTTTAAAGGATAGGATTTCTTGGAGGTAGTTTCTTTCTTAGGCAGCGTAATTATTAGAAGTTTGTTGTCAAATTATCCCATAACCAAAACCAATTTCACTTTAAACTACCACTATCCAAAAATTAATTCCAAAACAATTTCACTATTCCGCTGTAAGATTAATTTTTCTTTTTCGGAGTTTTGATTTTTTTTTTTTAATTTTTTCATTCTTAAAAATTCCAATGTTGAGCTTTATCGGCCCACATTACTCTTTTTGTGTAGTGTAACGTGATATTATGCAAACTTCATGAAGTTGTGTGCCTAAAAATCAAAAACTTCCTAGCCTGTTTGCTTCAACCACCCATAACCTATTTATATTTTCATGTCTTACAGAAAAGCGATTTCTATTTGGGAGGAGAAGATGATCCGCCTAGGCCATATCGACGTGGTGCGCCACGGTAATCTGATTGATCCACCGGAGCCAAAGACCCGCAAGACGCAAGCTGCCAAAGATAAATAGTGCTAGCTGCTTGGCCATTGCCCTACGCCATCACAACTCTTCGCAATTCACACATCATCCAGTTTTTTCGTTTTTCTTCCTTCATCAAAAATTGTTAAGGTTAAGGCATTAAAGATTAAATGCTAGCCCGCATAAGTTTAACTTAAAATCCCTTGTTCCTGCAGTTAGTTTTACGAAAGGTACAAATATTCAGTTTTCTGGATCATCTAAATAGTTCCAGCATTAAATATAAAGCTAGTTTTTGACGAAGTTATGTGTATTTTCCACTGATTGAAGTGAAAGGCTTTGTGTTCATTGCAGCCAGTTCAAAGTTTAGTACCTACAACCTTTGTAAATATCTTGCCTTTGCCAACACGTTGCGTATGGAGCAAACACGTGGCATCGGCAGTTGATGGGTTCAAAGCGAGCTGACCAAAGAATGGGTCTTTGGCAACACGTGTCTGAGTCTTACGGGGTTAATATCACACTGGTTTTTAGTTGATTTAACACGGTAATCGACACAGTTTTAATCTCTCTGCGTAGATCACGGTAAACAAATATGCGTTAGATTTGTCACCTCAAATGCGCAGATCAAAAAGGTTATGATTGGTACAGTCAAACTTGGACTGGTGCTACAGTGTGGTCTTGGCCAAGAGACGGACACAACCGCTCGCTTCTCGGTTCAGTTTGCAAATGAACGCACGTTTCAAAGCCGGAATACGGCTGAGGTTTGGTCGGGCTGGAATGCTGACGACTGGAATGATATTTCCGCTCTCCCTCTCTATATCTCTCCGATCCGACTTAGTGCTGAGGTCGAAGAATTCGGCGTACAAGGCAGACCGCCACAGTTGATAACCGTTCGAGTGTTTAATCAGGGACGGATTATATATGTACTTCGATGGCCCCCTTAAAATGTTCAACGTAGTTTGAGCGGGTTTTCAACAATGACAGATTTTAATTATTCCTCCATCTAATACATATTGGCATAAAATCGCATCTTGGAGTTAAAAACCTTTGCCTAAGAATTTGCATAATCTATGGCTTATAAATTATAAATAAATTGACTGCTGTCTGAGAAATGCAGTCTTTTTAAGTCGAAGAGATATCATAAATGTATTCAGAAATAAAAATATATTTTAATTCCATTTTCTCTTAGTTGTATGCTCATTCTACATTAACTGATTTGCCCTTTTGATTACCGGTTTTTAAAATGGTAAAAATTTATCAAAAGGTTTATTATAGATCACTTATATCACTTGTTTTTAATTTCAGTGGAGGTACATTTAGAAGTTGCTTCTAAATCCTTATCTTGCAGTCCGTCCCTTTGTTCGTATTGCCTTCCAACGACTCTCACTTCACTTTTGGTAGATTTGGAAACAGTTTCGGCTTTCTGGAATTCGCAGGTATCTCAGGTAGACTGTCTTCCAGCGGGAGGCAAAATGAGAGGCCATGCCTTCCAGCAATTCCCTGACAGGTAGCCGAATCATGACTTAAAGATTTCCATAGTTTTCGTCACGCCGCTTGGGTTTTCCGCTCTAGACAATTGAAAATGTTTTCACCTAATTTCGAGGCAATGCAGTCGGCTCGGCTGGCTCACCCCAACAATTTTTCTTTGCCTGGCATTGGCCAAAAAACACTTTGAAACGCCAACGACCGCCACATTCTTGGGCAAGAATCTGAGTTACCTCCGAGCTTTCTGGCCAAATACCACGTTCGGGCCACCAGCGCCAGCAGCGGAATTGCGCAAGCCATATACATATATTGGCGCAACCTTGGGCTACTCCAAAAGCCGAAAACTAACCACATACACGCGCACGCGAAAATATCTTTTTGCAATAGGAAAATAGTAAACAACTAGCGATCACCAAATTCAACTCCAAAATCGCCAATAAAATGTGCACAAAATTCGGCAGCCCGAATGACAAAAATGCATTAGACACTCAACAGGTAGCTGGGAAAACGGCTGCGCATGCGCACGATTAAGGCTATTAGATTAGCGATTTCCCAGTCTCTAGGCCTTTTGGGTAGGTAGTAGTTACAGGCGAACTTCCATCAAAGGAACATTCACTTTGTTTACTATTATAATATTCACTTAATTTTAATGGAATAATAGCAATTCATGTTTAAAATTGATATATTAATACAACTAATTTATACTGACTTTTTTCTTAATTTTTTGAAACAAATTTGTTGTATTTCCTTGGGTGCTTTAATAGTTCATGATTGCTTTGCCATTACCATAAGGCAAAGAAACCTAAAATAAATAAAAAGTTACACAAATTATAATTACAAAACATTAATAGCCAACTAGCTTTAATAGTTCATGGAAACTTTCCTGGCAACAAAATAATAAACCTGTAAAGCGGCCAAAGTCCACATTAAAATCTTACATTTTAATGCAGAGTTCATGAAAAATAAGTTCGACTGTAGTGAGATTCTCCGTGGCAAAGCAGCCAAGTGGAACCATTTATTAAGTAGTACATGCATTGTCTCTAGTAGCCGTCTAATACTTGTTTTATTTTGACTTCGGGTCCGCTGCTCAGGTGAGCCCAATTTTAAAGCACTCGCGGACTCAGATTCGTACTCGGACCTCCCTCGACGGCTTCCAAGTGGAGGCCAACTGCTTTTCGGCGGCAGTTGCGCCACAGAAGTTGAAATTTCGGTTAATATTTTTTCTGTTACGTATTTATTCAACAAATTTGGTTCTTTGCAAAAGTCGTAAAGTTGTAAAGTTGTTTAAACGAGATGCTACAAAATGTACATACACATACTGGATATATTTATCGATCTTTGCCGTACGCGACATAAACCTAACACTTACATGCTAGACGAATATTTACATATAGGTAAAGATAATACAAGTACGAATACGAATACGATGTACAAGCTCAGAGGAGTTTTTTGACAATAATTTAATACAATGAGGGCGATGACGCGCGAGGGATAATTAATTTCGAAAGTACCGAATGGTTTGTGGTGTTGTGATGTGTGTGAGGTCGAATTAAGTCGATAAAATGCTGATAAAGTAAAGAGCTTGCTCTAGGGATTCATCACTTCTTAAGTTTTCATTCAGCCAGTTTCCTCTTCCGGCTGATAACAGTGACTCGCCTAAATCCATTCGAAGTCTCTCCGAAATTCCCTAACTGCTCGACAGTGTACAATTGGCTAAAAACAAAACAAAGTACAATTGAATCACGCACAGGATAAAGCTTCGCTTTCTGGCTAGCCACGCTGCTTGCCACTGCTGTTGTGGCTGTCCTCCGACGGAGGACGCACCCATCCGCCGTAGCGGCGCTCCATTTCCCGGGCGACCGCCAGACAGAGGTGATCCTGGCCGGGATTGGCCACCACCTGGATGCCCATGGGCAGGTTGCGCCGGTCCAGGCCGATCATGCAGTTGGTAACCGGCAGGCCGAGCGTGTTGAAGATGGCCATGTACATCGGCTCCAGCAGCTTGTGGTAGATCTGGTAGTGCTGGTGCGCCGTGTTGGGGAAGGTCGGGTAGAGGAAGACGCCGTCGTTGCCCAGCATCTCCTTGAATTCAGTCTTGAGCGCCTCGATGATGCTGGCCAGGTGCTTGTGGCGCGAGTTCGGTATGATCTTCATGAAGTTCTGCAGGTGGCCGAAGATCACCGACGGCAGGATGCTGTCCGAGCAGCCGAAGAAGTACTTCACCGTCTCCTTGCAGACGGTCTTGGGCTGCTCGCCCTCCTCCGTCTTGTGGTAGATGGTCTCGATGTTCTTCATCGTGAGCATCGCCGAGAGCGAGATGTCCAGCGACCACTTCATCTTGCGGATGTTCACCCGCTTGGCGTTGAAGTCGGTGGCCACGCGATTGATGGCCGCATGAAGATCCCGGCTCAGTGGCCTCATCATGCCCGACGGCCCGTCGTTGTCCATGAAGAAGAACCGGATGCCGTTCACACTGATCGCCCGGTCCAGGGTCAACTTCGGACCCGTGGGATCGCTCATGCACTTGAGCAGCAGCGGCAGGTCCTTCGCGTAGCGCGTCATCGGGGCGATGGTGAAGAAGTCGCCCCACTTGGGAAAGTCGCTCGTGGGATGGTGGCCGCGGAAGGAGACGGCGTACGGCGTGGGCTTGTGGCCCCAGATGCCGCTGAACATGGCCGGCAGGCGCGAGGAGCCGCCGATGTCCGAGGTGAGGCCCAGCAGGGAGGCACCGCTGGCCAGGAGCGCCGCCTCGCCGCCGGAGGATCCGCCCGGCGTGCGCTTCAGGTCGTACGGATTCTTCGTCTGACCCGTCACGTTGTTGTACGTCTCCCAGAGTAGGCACAGCTCCGGGGTGTTGGACACCAGCAGGATGATTCCGCCGGAGCGCTTGATCTGCTCCACCACCGGCGCATCCGACTTGGCGATCTGCGGCGTCTTGAACACCCGACCCGCCTGGTTGGTCATCCCCTTGACGGCGATGCTCTCCTTGACGGTCACCGGAATGCCCAGCAGCGGCGTCAGCTCCTCCATCGACTCCACGCTGTTAATGCCCATGGCTATCACCCGGTCTATCTCACGGGCCTCCTGCAAAGCCTCCTCGAAACGATCCTGAACGATGGCATTTATCAGTGGATTCACCTGGAACATTAAAAATCGCCTGTTTAGTTTGGTTTATTTTGAGCTTACTTTTCTTATTTCCCTTCTAATAATTCTTTGCTATCTGAATCATATTAATTTGGCAAAAAATACATTTAACAAAATCTAAGCATGACTTTCAAATTTTAATTATCAAGATGACCATTAAGATATCATTATGAAATCATCGAAAATAGCCTTAGCACTGAGTTATTTTTATTACAACAATGAGATTTAAATAAACTTGATCTTTAAATGCTCACTGTAATAATTCCTATAAAATGTAAATGTACTAATACGCAATTTTAATTGCGCAAATAAGAAATGTTAAACGGAATTGTTTCATCAGAATGTGATGTGATTAAGGAGGTATTCCCCGGATATACAAAACATGTTATTTCGTTTGGTTACTTAATAAGCTTATCACAGTGAATAAGCTAATTCCGATCGGGTTCTGTCTGCTAAAATATGCTAATTTTGTTGTTCTTTCTCCCAAGTAAACTCACCTGTCGACATCGCTCGATGTAGGCTTCCACGACTTCTTCGCTTTTAATCTGCAAGGGGAAAGAAAGGAATGTGTGAGTATTTCCGCAGTTCACCCTCCAATCCCCTCCAGCTCGCATTCCACTCGGATTCCCATAACCATTCCCATAGCCAATCAATTCAAAGTCTAGTGAGCCGCGGCCAGTGCCAGTGCCACAGCAAAGGCAATTTGTGTTAAATTAAAATCAATAAAAAGACAAAGCCAACGGCCAATTCAAACACAACTTGCATTCGTGACGTTCTCCCTGCGAAGCGTGCACTTTCGATCGGCTATCAGCGGCCCCATAACGTATGAGTAATGTCTGATCGGAATGGGGGTATAGAACTCTTCGTATCACGGTTCAAAGCGAGCTATTCACGAAATTGATTCATTCGCCGAGGGGTCAAAGAATGCTAAGCTACATAAGCCGGTGTCGTTTATCAATCAAGAGGCCTCAAGTTGATTTCCGCATCGATCTTTAGTACAGAATCGATTTGACGTCGAGAGTTCTTTATGATTTGAATAAATACAAATAAAATACAAATAAGTGTAGGAAATAACATGTTTTGAAGCAGAACAAACAAACAACATAATAATAAGTTTATTTTTGTTTATGCTAACTTGAGGTGGCGCGAAAAAAGTGAAATAACCGATCGTCTGGCCAAAGTATAGTAGAAATCAAAACTTGAATATCAAGAAGCCAGTTGAATGGGAGAATCAAAACAAAAGATAACAAAGACTTGATAGATGGAACAAGTATGACTGAAAATAAAACAAACGTAAAGGAAAGCGCAATAAATATCTGATCCATAGGCTACAACACGTATTGATTAATTAATTGCTTTTCATATTTATGTGTCACAATTAAGGCGCACAGAAAGAATTTCTAGCAATAAAGCCAAATGGGCTTTGAAACAAAATAAAACAAATGAAACTCTTTGTGAAAAAGGAATACAGCAGAACAAATAAAATTGAATGATCGCTGATAATCAGGCGATCAATAGACCGGAGCACGTTGCTATCAAATAAATATCTAATGAGTCACATATCACCCATCAAATTAGCAGTCAATAAACTTATCAATACAGCGAGAAACGCAGCACTTAAAGCCACCCATGAACAGTATTTAGAGTCGGAATTGAGCCTTGTAAGCGATTCCTGATATTACAATTAATCACATTCCCACTCGATCTACAAAGGCAGCGATAGTGCCAAGATGTGATTAGTTAATTGGCGGGGGAAGAACGTATCAATCAACTAGATGCACTGTGAAAAGCAATGAATAATCGATCTCAATTGCAAGTGGGTACTCGAGTACATAACTCAAACGAAACCAGACAGTGATCCATTTTTGTGTTACCAAACACCGAACCACAAGTGGCAATCGGGTCTCACCTCTGAACTTGGTTTCAGTTAATCTGGGTAATCGGAGGCTAATGGCCTTCCCTTTCGGTTGGCACTTCACCGACTTTACACTGGTAAATTGCCGCGGGATTGAGACACAAATTGCCTTACTTTGCCTTAATGCAGGTTCATGCAACGCACAAATGATGCACCGGCGACCATATAAAGCCCAGTCGATTGTACGTACGTACCTATGTATAATTAAAATTAAGGCTACTTGACTTTTTCAATGACTTCCAGTGTAATAATAAATCAGTGACGGCAAAGAGGGGTTCCGATCAGGTAAACACGGTGCACAGTGCAAGACAGACAACATGCAACGGATAATGGGGATTTGGGGCCTCCGAGGGGCATGCGAAATCAGCGACCGAAAAGCTTGCGACTCCGATACCAATACCAATCCAATGTTCGATGTTTACTAAGTGGAAAAGATCTTGTGGCACAGAGAGGCTCTCGAAGCACATAGTATAAAGAAATCGCGACACACAGACACAGTTTCGCCGAGTAAATATGCTCGGATAAATGTACATACGAGTACAAGCCACATGAAGTACGTGCTAAAAAGAGTCGAGTGGCAGAGCAAAACAAACCGATGGAAAAAAAAGGCGAAACACGAATTATGCGATTCAAGTACGAACGAATTTCACATGGGCAGATTTCAGATTGCCCATCTACGTAGTACATGGTACCGGTCTAAACAACCTCCTCCCACTTTCAGAGACAAAGACCTAATAAATTCAATTTGAGACACCGGACAACAGCAATTAGAAGTGTCACTTTCCTAAACGCAGCTTGTTGTGGCTGCTAAGACAACGATTATTACTTAATATGCCAGCCGATCAACTAGATGCGGGTTCTGATATAATGCCAATTACAAAATCATTGCGCTCGGCTCGTCGTGAGGCAATGCTTAACCTATGACAATGAAACAGCCGGCAATTAAGAGGGGGAAAAAGACATAAAAAACATAATTAAAATAATAATATTTTTAGCAGTGATACGCACCATATGAGCGACCGACCAAAAGAAGACAGAAGCACTAAAAAGCGCCACTAAAATACGAAACTTTTGTACTTCAGACGGACGGACGTGCAGTAAAAAATCAAGTGCCCAAGTGCATGCAGCACATGCGATAAAAAATCAGAGGAATATGGCCACTGGAGGGCGGGTGGTGACCACGATAAGGTCTCTCCGCTGGTGACCTCACACGATGTGGACCAACGAACGCTGAAATCTTGCACATCCCGTCGAGCTTACAAATCCACTGCACAAACAAAGCAAATGCGGCATGTAATTGATGGTAAGAGCGGCCAAAACCCGGACCCTGCTCGTAGCTCAGGGACATCATTGTGAATTTGGATACATGGTTATGGATATATTATGCGATTTAGCCCCGATAACGAGCCAGACGTCTAGGCCACCGTGACGAGTGCTTGTCGTGTGAATAATGCTTTGCGAAATTTCTGCTCGCATCATAAAAGTGCTTGGTTAATGCTTCAGATGACTAACCCGCTGGTGTCTTCAATGCCTCGCCTCTGTACTCGCATATCCCTCTGCTTTGGGCCAATTGCCTTAAGTGCTTGCGACGACGAGTAGAAATGGAAAACAAAAAGCCGATAAAAAAAACCCAAATTGATTTCGATTTCATCTGGCATCTGGTAATACTCTGTCTAGGGTCGTATAATCATTGTTATGTTTTCGAGAAGTGACGCACTAAAAACAGGAATTAGACGTTGGCAAAATTCGCATTAGGAATTTTTTCAAAATCTTCCGTCGGCAACTCCGAATTATACACGAAAAAAAACCATTTCACTGAATTAATAAGCTTGGGTACAAGGTTCTTGTTTTCTTGTTTGTTTGCCTCGTCATTCAGCCGAGAATTTTTGTATGTTGTGAACTTTACATATCTGATCGAAGCTTATTGACCCCAACAGTTTGTTATTTTCGGGTTTTTTATGCCTACCAATTTGTTTATGTGAAGCAATTTTAACCCAATTATGTCATGCCAAAATAAACGGCCTTTTATTACACTTTCAATTCAATTAAACTTGTTTAAAATTTAAGACAATGATGATTTAAATTTTAATGGCTCAATAAGTTATAAATCACAATCTTGAAAAACAAAACAAAAAGATGTTAACCAAAACAAATGCTGACTGGGGTTTCCTATCGTAAAGCTTCAATATCTAAAAATTCTAAATCTTTAACAATAGTTTTGACTTTGAACTTGACTCTAAAAATGGTTCTCTATGTCTGGTTAAAAGAACATAAATCGTTGGTAAGGGTATTCACCCTCTTACTTCTCAGTAACAGCTTTTCCCCTCGACCTTTTTTATGGCTTACTTGTCTAATTGAAATGTTAGGGGCCACTGCTCGACGACTTTTTAAAGTGAAAAACGAAAAGCGAAGTCTTTGTTTTTTATGAGTTTTTACTTTCGGCCGAACTCTGGTGGCAAAACTATGTGTCTTTCTTCTGCGACTCCTGAAGAGACTGGTGTTAAATTACAATCAACGGGTAATGGCCAACTATGAACACGAAGTATCTAATAAATGTGGCAATATCAACGGCCACTGTGGCAACAGTCTTTCCATTGATTTGGCATGATTTTAGCCAGTCAGCCTGCCCATTTGCCAGGCTTTCGATTTCGATTTTTATGGTATTTGCGTAAGTGACCCAATTCGGGCAGTGGAGAACTGGGTTGGGAATCGTACTCACCTTTCTAGTGCGAATCAGCTTGGCCAGGTCGACGGCGGGTATCTCGAGCAGGTGGCTCCGGATCGGCGGCAGCTTGCGCCGGATCACCTTGATGTTGGTGTATCGGCTGTAGGGGACCACGAACCAGCTGAAGACAATCATGGCCGATCGCAGGAACCGGCGCATGATGTACCCCAGGATCCTGGAACAGAGTAGCACGGCAATTTTGGCGGTTTTCTCTTAACACTCCGGGGAAGGGAAATATATCTATGTATGATCGGCCGCGTATCGGACAGATACGCTCTCCAGGCCGAGATTCTACACGGTAAACACACACACACGGCGAACAGCACACAGCAGCCAACAACAGGTTGCCAGGATTGTGCAATCCGCAATCGGCAATCCGCAGCTGACGACTGCAATCGACTTTTTCGGCTTGCACAATATTTTTGGGTACCGAGAGCTCGAGCTGAGAGCTCGACGGACGATGCTTTTTGGTCAGTAGTGGGCTTGGCTAATAGTCGGGTAGCAGTGGCTTTTCCTTGGCTGCATTTGGCAACTAGTTGGCAATATCTGCGGGATGCACTCGCGAAGAACTCGTCGACTCGGGGCGCTGGCGACGCATGCGCAGCCCTTGGCCGCCGGCATTCATTTTGTTTCACTCCACTCAAGAAGCATTGGGTGCCCGACTATCTGGCTATCTGGTTATCTGGAATCTGCATCCAAATCGGTATCGGTATCGCTTTCGGTTTCTGTATCTGTATCTGGGTATCTGTAGCAAGAGCAGGCACGAGCCGAACCGACGCGATTGAGGCGAGCTGAGTAAATAAACGCTGGCCCAGCTTGCCATCGAGTATTTAAAGCCCGACTCTCCGATCTCTCGCAAGTTCGGCCAGATGTTCCAAGCTCTCGTTCTCTTCGGTTCTCTTAAGACCCGGTTTTCACATCATAATCATTGTGATTCCCGCTTGGCCTGAAGGAAATGCCTTTATTGCGAGCAAGTACGTCATGTAAGAAGATTGGCAGTTACATGGCCTGAACTCTTGATCCGAAGTGATTAAAACTTTAATCGTAATGCCATCGCCTTGTTTGCCGTCACCGAAAGGGAGGACTCCTACCGCTAATTACACAGTTCATCGAGAATCGGCTATGTCTATAGCTTTGGTTCGTAACGGGCAGTTAGAGCCATGCATGTCTGCTGACCCCAGTTCCAGCTTAACCTGAGATCATCGCAGAAAACGCGGCGTCATTCGGAAAGCAAATATTGATTCCACGAGGCAGGGTTTCCGGGGGAAAGCCACCGCTCGAAAGTCATTTACAAGGAACTAGAACCTTGAACTTGTTTTTAAACCCTGGTAACAAGTGAGTGGCAGTACAGAAATAGACATGAGCTAAAATTAGCTGGAGTCCTACACAAGAGAAAATAGTTCGCGGTAATAAAATGGGTAACCAAGCGCTCCTTAAGTAAACCTTGGTTACTGCTGGAGAATTAAGAATTATATAAGTTCAACATCAAGTATCAAGTGCTTTTAATGACATGGTTGTATCCCAATTGGTTCTATAAATACTAACTTAAAAGGCTAACAAGGAAATTATATATAAGTTTTGTTCTTAACACGATTCAAGTTATTAAGAAAATTATTTTCTACTCGAGAATTCATTTATTTAAACTCAATTTTGCGTGCATAAATCTTAATTGATCGCCTGCGCGTGGACGAAACAGTTGTATCCATCAATTAAAATGTATAAACTTAGTATTTACAGATCACTGATCCGTCGTCTGACACTTGCGTTAAGCACTCAGGCATAAGGTATCCAGCCACGACATTCAAATTACATTTTAATTGTGGTGGTCATTAGGAAATAATTGCGCTACATTAGGCTCTTAGTTGGTCAATTTTTCAAGAAAAACAAAATGCTGTAAATGCCTTTCAGCTGCCACTTAGTCCGATCGCTTAGTTAGAGATCACGCTATCCAAGATGTCAGCGAGGTGATATAATCGGTGTACAGAACAAAACGCAGCATCGGGTTAACAACTTGCCTCGATCTGTATTTAATGATATGATGGCGTCGCCGATGACTAACCTCTTATTAACTTGTGGTCAGCAGAGGCGATTCCCCCTCGAATGCGAAAGGATTCGTGACATTCTAGGTGGAAACTCCCCAAGGTGAGCCGAAAAGAGAGTTAATTTTTGGGGCCCTCAAGTGTTCGTTTATCTCAGAGTTAAGATAGTTGAAAAGCTCCCACTCTTCGAGGTGTTTTAAGAGAAACCCCGAAGAGATAAGACAACGAGCTTCACTACGATTTTGGATGGAGGGCCATTTCAGTGACGATAAAAGTGGCCGCGGATCAAGTTGGGCCGCAAAACTTTCCACACAGTGTATATAGCAAACAGATTAGGTGACCCACAAGCAACAACAACAACAGACCAAACAGAACTATGTTTTCACAGAATTTGCGACTCGGCCGGGGAATTGTTAATTACGGAGTTTGCCGCCAGAGCTTGAGAAACTTTGCAGCCGCTGGCGATAAAAACAAAGGCCCTGATAAAAGTACCAGCGAAGTGGACGAGCGCCACCCGCTCCATGGTATCCGGATATTGGACCTATCGCGCATAATAGCCGGTCCCTATTGCACCATGGTGCTGGCGGATCTGGGGGCGGAAGTCATTAAGGTGGAGCGTCCGCATTTCGGCGACGAAGCCCGCAAATGGGGACCACCTTTCCTGGAGAAGAGCAAGGATGCCGCCTACTTCCTGGCCCCCAATCGCAACAAGCGGAGTATTTGCGTTGATATCAAGCGGGGCACGGATCTCCTTTATCGGCTGGCCAAGATTAGCGATGTGCTGGTTGAGAACTATGTGCCCGGCACCTTGGACCGCTATGGTTTGGGCTACGAGCAGTTGAAGAAGGTGAATCCCAAGCTGATCTATTGCTCTCTGACGGGCTATGGCTCCGTGGGTCCGTATGCCAAGCGACCGGGCTACGATGTGATAGCCTCATCCGTTGGGGGGCTGATGCACATCACCGGAGAGCGGGACGGACCACCCAGCAAGGTGGGCGTAGCCGTGACGGACATGGCCACTGGGCTCTATGCCCACGGAGCCATTTTGGCAGCCCTCTATCAAAGGTCGCGCACTCAGCGTGGCCAGAAGATCGACGTGGACCTGCTGTCCACCTGCTGCTCCCTGTTGCTCAATGTGGGCAGTAACTACTTAAATGCCGGAGTGGAAGCGGGCAGGATGGGCACAGCTCACTCGAGCATTGTTCCATATCAGAGCTTCAAGACAAAGGACGGCTATCTCACACTGGGCACCGGAAGTGATGAACAGTTTTTGGATCTGTGTCGGCGCTTGAAAGTGGAGCACTTGCCGCGGGACCCGAAGTTCCAAGCTAACAAAGATCGGGTCAAGCACCGGACGGAGTTGATTGGAATCTTGGAGAAAATGCTTTCCGAAGACACCTCTCGCAACTGGATGAAGCTCTTTGAAGGCGCCACCTTTCCCGTGGGACCAGTGAACTCCATTCCCGAGGTTTTCGAGGACGAACACATCCAGGCAATTGGCTTGGTCAAGAGCCTGAGGCATCCCAAAGACGGCACAGTAAAGGTTGTGGGTCCTCCAGTCGTCTTTAGCGAATCACGCAATGATGCCCGGACAGCTCCTCCGGTTTTGGGTCAGCACACGGACGAAGTGCTGGGCGAACTCTTAGGCTGTGGACCAGAGGAACTGGCCAAACTGAAGAAAGATAATATTATTCAGTAAACTGTGTAGTGCCAGTTCCGCTTTTACGACCAAATAAATGAGTGATAAGCAAGCATTTATCTTAAAACCGCATTACGAAGTGGTTTCTCTTGTAAAATATGGCAGAGTTTTAAACTTGTAGTTCTTAGTTTGGTATACCAAATACAAAGTGATTTTTAGAAACTCCCAAGACTTGAAATATTTAAATTCTACAAAGGGTCAAGTCAAAATTTAATCTAAGTATTTCCTTGTTGTAGTTATCAAATGTTCTTTATCGCATTAAAAAGAAATTACTTTAATTAAACTGGTTCCTACCCAGCTTTGGAACAAAAAAGTGAATTTTAACATATAAACAAATATGTTTTTGGGCTATTTGTGCTTATCCAATACAAACTGATGCGATAGAAAAAGTTTACTTGATAATAGTCATCTAATAAATCTATTAATTGCTTTAACTATGATTTCACGTCTCTGAACGTTATTTTTAACACGTTAATAGACACATAAATCAACACGCTGCGAAATTAGCTATGGACGTTAGTTCAACAACTAAAGGGTCAAATGTCTGTATTTACATGCCTGATGATGCTGATCACCTACTCACATTGTAAACCTTACAATACCTTCCGAACGGGGAAAATAAGATAAGTGAGAGTAGTAAACATTGTCTTTTTTGTTAAAAATTAACATTAGTTGAGAACTATTCTTCAAATGGGTAAGCCAGGCTGTAAGAAGCTGCCTTCTTTGGCCGCCTAACCCCTGATTTTAATGTATTAGACTCTTTGATCTCCCAGATAGCCATTCATCACATTCCCTGGCGGCAACGAACGTGTCGGCAAAAGGTCATCATCGTGGCCTTCTTTTTCCTGATTTTTGTCGTGATCTTTAACCTGGCTGGTTGGCTGGCGTTTCTGTGTGTGTTTCGTCAAACGGAGAGGTATCGCAGCAGGACGAACGGTGATTAGGGTTCAGGGGCGAGGCTTACCTGAGCCACAGCTCCTCCAGGTGCAAGCGAATAACGGTCAATATCGATTTTAGCACTGTCAAAAAACGGGGGAAGAGGATTGAAGGCAGGTGGCAAAAATGATAGGTGGGAAAACTCACTCGCAAATCAAATAAAACTATACTTTTTAAGGCGCGTCGTCCGCTTGCCAAGAACCCAAAACTAAAACTGAAACTACAACTAAAATTGCAGGTGCTGTCCGAAATCAAAAACAGAAACAACAACAATGCGACGCCGACGTCGGCGTTCAATAACAGATTGTTTGCCTTTGCAGCGTTGGTGTTTGTGTGCGCAAAGTACATACGATAGACCGCATCCGAGTCTTAGCCTCTAGTTCTAGCCCCGAAGTGGATAACTCCCCGCCCCCACGATCCGGGTGTGGATTTCGCACTTAATGGGTTGAGTTTAGTTTAAAATATACATATGTACAATGTATGTATGAGGAAAGGTTAGCCGGAGATTCAGTGGGCTGGCAATTAACAGTTATTTACTCTCCATCTGAGCAGTATGACCAAAACGGGGATTAAACCTTGAAGTTAAGGTCATACCTTATATTCAAAATATATTGATTTTAAAACTACAGTGCTTAAATAAAGAGATTTACTTAACTTATATACAACGGTATATCTAAAAAAATTCTTAGTTTAGATTACATTAAGTATGCAATAACAGTCGTTTATGTAACTTGGTAATATTTTAATTTCCATTAAATATATTTAAAGTTTTATTTTTTCGATGTTCATAAATCTCTTAATAAGACTTGGTCAAGGCAAAACAATTTTGTTTTTGTAATTTACCCCTTTTCAAATTCTACGTCTCCACAGCTTCGTGTCATTGATCCATTCTAACCACCTCCACCACAATTGTTATCAGAACCAGCGACCACAACGAACTAATGACAGATGCTTATCTGTCACAACAAGCTTAGCCCGAATCTGTAAGCCCAGACAAAGAATTTAAAGCCAGTTTCCCATAATTATCCCCAAAACGTTGGACTTTGTACCGAGCCAAAAGTGATAAAGCTTTATTCAAACAAGGCGCCAGGTTTGGGGCCAGCAAGTCTTGTTTAGTATATTTCCTAGATAAGATTTTTTTGCTTTCCGCAATGCGGTCACATCGCACATGTTGTTTTTGATAGCTGTTAAATAATTATAATTTCGTTTTACGCACTTTGTAAAGATGACCAAGCCGCAGCCATCGTTCGTGTCGCGCAATCTGGTGGCCATCGTGATGATCCCCAGTCTGGTGGGGATCCATCTCGGCTGGAGCTACATGCAAAACAACCGAAAACTGGTCACAGAGGCGGAACAGATCGACATGCCGCCAGTCACCGTATGTGCATCGCAATCATTAAGGGTTTTCTTTAATTGTTTTTCTTTCAGTTTGCCAGGTTCGTGTGGAACAAGCTGACGGGCGGAGGAAATTCGGCGAAATGACAACCGCACTTGTGATGAGCTTAAAACATACAATCTATTTATTGTATAGAATAATTAAAACTACATACAAACGGTATGGTACAATCAGTTGCTGGCCGAGCGAAAATGGCTGGTCAGGCAGGAGGTTGGGACACAGACAGAATAGACTACACAAAGACGGAGACTACATATACTAATCCTAGAGGGGCGATGGAGATTACTGCGCGAGGGCCGAGTTCACGGTGAGGTTGTCGAGCTGGGCATTGAACAGAACATCGCTGATCAGCTTCTCCGCCACGATGCGCTGCGTGGGATTCATAGAGCGCAGCTTGCTGGCGACATTCACGCCGATGGCGTCGTACTCGTCGTCATGCCGATGTGATGTGTTCGGGGCTGCTGTGGTGGTATAGGCAGTGGTACTGGCATTGCCAAACAATGGCTGGTAATGATCGCGTCCAATCTGGATAGTGGGAACGCCCTGGTGTTGACCGTTGGCCTGCTGCAGATGCAACTGTTGCTGGTGGTGCTCCAGTGAATTGACCGCCTGAGGTTTATTAATTCAAAATAATTTAAGCAATCTTTTATGTTTTACGGGGATTACCCACCTGTTGTATCTCTCGCTGGGAATTTGAATCCAAGGATGTGATCTCCAGAACCTTTACGGCGTGGCCTTGAGCCGCCGCCGCCGCAATGGAGGTCTGTGCGGCCGCATGGGCCACCAATTGCTGGTGCGCCTGGGCTGCTGCCGCTGCCTCGGCCGCCTGGTGCTCCTCGCTCTTCACCAGGGTGACACACTCCGCTGGGGTCACCGAAATGGTGCTCAGGGTAGCGCCCTGGCTACTGACCACCACATTGCTGGCCGTTGCCCCCACCTCCTCCACTTCGTCCGAGGACGTGGGCATTATCGAGTCCATGTGCTGCGATTGCGTGCCCGTGTGATGTGACTCGTCCTCGAATTCCATTGACTCCTCATCGTCGAAGCTGATCTGGAGCTCCCGCTTGGGCTTGTTGCCCAGTTCATGCCGTTTGGGCTTGTGATCGGCGATGAAGAGCAGCTTGTCGTAATACCACAAACGCGTTTCGTAGTCGTTTTTGCTATTCGTCTTGCGGAATTCCCGCCGAAAAGCGGAGCGTAACGAGTTGATTTTTCTAAAGTGGGCAATGTTTAGTAAAATAACTCTCAACATAGTCTCGATTGTGGACTTACCTGACTACCATCGCCCTGTCCGGATTGGGCTCCACTTCTTTTAGTTTCTCCACCAGGCGGTCGTAGGACTTGTTCCGCGCTGTGTGGTTACTGTAGTCGTTGTGCTTCGGCTGCCACAGGCATTCCTCCTCCTGGTACTGCTCGATGAACTCCGTGAGCCAGTGGCGCGAGTAAGATCGCAGGTCTACGTTCATGGTCCTTTTTAATTGCTTTTTATGTTGGATTCCCTTAATTATTTTCGTTTTTGTTTTCGGTGCGTCTCGCGTGAAGTTGGCTGCGTCAGCTAGGTACCGCGTTGCCAGACTACCAACTATCGCCCCGGTGTTGTTTATCGATGTGTTGGTATTTGAAATATTAATTTTTTAATATTCGTTTATCCCTCAAATTGTTTATTTATGTTTTAACAATGATTCTAACACATATGTCGCTGTAGATGAATGTTTTGAACTAGGTAACTCCTTGCAGTCGTACTCTCTTAAGGACTCAATTACTTTCAAATCTACCCACTCAGATTTTTTCACTAAAAGACACATTTTTAACCTTAGAAAACTATACAAAACAAAATTTTATGTTGTAAACATAAAATAACAACTTATGATACATTTTCACAACGAGAAACTATTTTTTTAGCGTTTAGACCACTGTGCAAACGTTAGATTAGCGTGGACTCAACCCCGTTGCCGTCTGGCAACTCCTTCTTGTCTGGCAAGGCGGTTGCACGGTTCTCGATGTTTTTGTCAATTGCTCTTTGGAGCTCCCCAACGAGGGCGAAGTCGCGCGGAAAACATTTGTTAACAAATAGTAAACAGTCGAACATTGAAAGAAGCCAACTCGCGGTACAGTGAATACAGTGCCAGTGTCTTTATAAAGCTAAAAATCTGTGCGGCAGAGCCTGTGTTGTTGTTATTGTTGCCAAGGCCGAAGGAGCGGAGAGAGAGGCCTGAAAAAAAGAATCTGTGCTAACAAAAACAAGGTGCGTGTAGGCCAAAAAGCACCATTGTGATGCATATATGTGTGTAATAATTTGTTTTTTCGGTTTGCCCAATTATATAAGGTCTAAGTGTTGGTGTGTTTTGGATGTTGCAAGTGCTTAATCGATGTAAACAAGTGAGATAATTGATAAATTGCATAAAGAGAGTAGTGGAACAGTCCCTTCCCCTCCCCACTTTTTATATCGAAGATCCTGATTTAAGAGAAACAACAACACAAAGCGAGCAACAGCTGTTTTTTCCCCTCCCCTATCCAATCCAATCAGAATTAAATCACGTAGCATTCTTACCAGACTTCCAACGAAGTTTGTAAACAACAAACAAAGCACTGCAAATCGAATTATTTTCCAAGTAATTAATTTGGTCAGGAAATCACATATGCCCACCTGTATGGACAAATAAATTTGCCTTTTATTTGCGTACATTCAATTTGCCCAGTTGTTTTTCTAGAGGTACAAAGTCCAGTTTCAGGTTTGCTTTACTATCTGCCTTCACCTCCCCCTCCCCACAGAAGCCATCACAAATCTATTTATAGCAAACAAATTTCAATGATAGAACCGAAATGGAAAATTGTACAGCCGGATAAACTGGATCCGTAGTAAACCTCAACCTTGACTGAGTGCAAAGGCAGAGAAAAAAGTGCACAAACACCGCCTAACGAGCTTGTTTACGTTTATCAAGTGCCGGCAACAACAGCATCCAGAGCACAGTGGTTACGAAATTGTTCTCTTTGGTCGGATTTCTTATCAGAACCAGTTTATGTGGGGCATATATCAAAGGGCTTTGCGAAAGGCACAGCAATTCACAGTTGAGCCACGTAAAACGTGGAGTATTTGTAAAAGTGCTTATAGGCTTAGTTTCAAAAGATAAAAGCGTAGAGTTATCAAATAACAATTAAATAAAAGTTGATAAGGTGTGATGTAGTAATAAATTATTTGTTGCAGTTGGAGTCGATTCCAGGAGGAGCTATCGATAGGCTAGATGAAGTAGCGATGGTTAGGGCAGCGCCACCTTTTGGGCCTCGGGCAGATCATGTAAAATGTAAACATGTAACCTGGGCTTAGGATTTCTCTTAGATGGCCTTGGGGATGTCCGTTGACCCATCTTCGAGAGAGCCTGGGGAAAGATGGTAGGGAACATGGCGTGATTATACGGATCACCGGTAGTAGTACAAGAAAAGACGGACACGATAGACGTGGGAATTTAACCTCGTAGTGGTTGTGCAAATTTTTGTGAAAAAGTGAGTTAGTTTTTTTTTGTAGTTTTCTTTTGTAAAAATAAAATGTTTATTTTTGTTTAGGGAACCCGGGGTCCCATAATAAAGGGCCCCGGGATTTTTTTTTTTGAGGAAACCCAATAAATACATTTCTGAAGAAGTCACATTTTGTCGACGGTTATTTTTCGCCGAAGGAAATATAATTTTTTTTGTGGAGCAAATATATACATATAACATATGGAAATATAAATATTCTGGAGAGGCCACAGTTTTTCGATCAACACAAAATTATAACATTTTTCGGAGGAACACCACTACGAAGTTTTCTGAGGAGAACGTGCGTTTGGAGGAACATTTTTGGAGAACCACGGCATCAAAGCCCAAGTCGACCCTCTAGGACTCCAGATCTCCGGTGAGTCCGTTCCGCGTCGGGGTGCCTCCGATAGTGGCCAACTTATGCGCAACTGGCTGGTACCACGAGGTTGGCCAGCAAAGTCCCTATACGCCTCCGAGTTCCTGGTGGTGCGATTTTCTGGTGGGCCGAGCCCAAACCCACCACTTCCTGAAATTGAGGAAAATCAATTAAAATAATGTGTAGCTTTTAAGAATTTAAATACCTTATATTGTTAAGTCTATTGTGCGTCCTTCCAAAGATTCACCCTTGACCGACGGTTGCTAAAATAAAAGGGTCGCAATTAATTAGGATGAAGGAATCAAGTGTGTAAATCTCCCATACCTTTCGGCGTCCCTTCTTTTCCCTTGGAGCTCCTCAGGATTAGGTGACCTTAATTTAAGCCGCGTAACCCAGAGAGTTCTGCCGATACAAGGGTGGCAGAACATTTTTGTCGGAGAGTGTCTATTCCTTGTTCTTAAATTTAGCTTTGACCGCTAAATATACTGATACGGCGGTTGATTGGCGATTCTGAGGTTAGATGAACAAATAGATTTTGAGGAAATGAATTAGATGCGAAATGTCAATTGTACTCACCTGAATAATTAAAGCCATTATAACGATGATGAATTGCTAGACCTTTTTCTGTGGGGGAGATGGAATTAAGTTAGTCGCCTGGAGTGACTTTCTGACCCATTATGGGCGATGTTTTAATAAATGCTTACGAAACATCCTAGGTAGGGTGGGTACGCAATGGCCAGGACACCAAAGGCCACTCAAAGGTCCAAAAATTTCCGCCGCCTGAGTTAATGTTTGAATTTAAATTTTTGTTTGTTTACATTTTATTAGTGATCGCAGAAAGTTAGTGTTGTGAGACGACCGTTATCGATGTTAGTATTTTATGTTGTCGGACTGCGGGCAATTGGGGAGAACTTGGCCCAAATGAGATCGCTGAGCTAGCGGCACTGCCCACCCAATAGCAGTTCGTAACATAATGGCGCCCAATTTAAAAAAATATATATATACATGGTCGAGGCGACGACGTCTCGCGAGGAGCGGACTTAGTTGGTCAGCCCTTCGGAACGGTGGCTTGCAAGGAAGTTGCAATTGCATCGGGATGAAGGACTGACGAACTAAGGAAAAGCTGAGGAGAACGCGAGGCTTAGTTGGCCAGTCCTTCGGAACGGTGGCTTGCAAGGAAGTTGCAATTGTATCGTGATGGGGGACTGGCGAACTAAGGAGAAGCTGAGGAAGTGGGAGGCTATTCCAGAGTGCTGGTCAATTGCTCCCTGGTCGCACAATTAAATTTTGAAAATGGTTGAGGCGACGAGCTGGCCTAGTTTCCGGTCACTCTGAACGGTGGCTTGTAGACGTATGCAATTGCATCGGGAAGGGTGACTCGGGAACTAGAGATCAGCTAAGGAGGGTTGGAGGCTTGTCCAGTAACATGCTGGCCAATAAATAGTCTCGTTTTTTTTTGTAGTTTTTTTTGTAACATTAATTTATTTATTTATACTTTTTTTTGTTGTCTGTAAATGGTGTACGGATTCCTGGGTTTTTCTTCCGTCTGTGGGTTTCCAATTTCCTGTCGGTTTTAACAACTTAATTGGTACTCGTGGCCCGTTGAAAGTACACGCGATGCACGAGTCCCTCGATTTGCGATGGGAACTGCAGATGAGGAGGAAAACCAACAGCAGTCCAGAAGCAGCTGAAGTCCTTAACTGGCGGCTATCACCTAAGGTGATAGCTAGACCAGTTGACGAGCGGCTGCGAGAGGGGCGGCAATTTCGAAGATTTTTGGAGTAAGGCGTAGATGTTAAAAGGTCGGAAGTCCACCGGCGACGTTGATTCCATCTCCCACAGTAGGATCTGAAAGAAAGAATAGAAGAGTTAAAAATTTTGTGCAATTTTTTTTTGGTATTTATGGTTATTTATTTCAGGTATTGTTTATTCGTTCGCTTCATAATTTATTTATTAATTTATTGTTATTTATTGCATATTTATTTTGTTATTATTTATTTATTTCGTTATTTGTTTATTTATTTATTACATTATCTATTTCGTTATTTATTTATTTATATCCTTAATATTAATTTTTGTCGCGGTGATATCTCTGTTTATTTATATATTCCGTTTGTGGTTTTAGTATAGGAAGTATTTATTTTTTTTTGTAAGTGATGTGCAAGGATAGGGATTTTGGGAACAGGCACGACCACCAGCTGAGGTCGATGGGTCCTCCTGGAGGAGACGAAGATGCTCTTTGGCCAACGGACGTAGAGGGTGCTGCTCGAGTAGAGCGTGAGCAACTGCTCGAGCTAGGCGGCGGGAACTCGGCAAAATCACGGATCGCTTCGGAGGAAAGGTCGGCAGTGAATGTGGCGATCGCGCAGGCGGCTGAGACGTACCGAAAGGCACAGGAGGCGGGAGTGAGTCAGTCGATACGGGATGAAATCCGTGAAGGATTCCTGGAGTTGATGAAGCTCCTGAACGACGCTCTCAGGCCAGCAGATCTAAGGCCTTCTCCCGCGGCCAAAGAACAGACGGATCGGCAGCAACAGCCAGCAGCAGCGGAATCAAAGTCGTCGTTGCATCACAGGCAGGACGCCATTCCAAAGGGAAGCAGACCGTGTCCACCACCTCCATTGGTCCCGCCGAAGCCAAAGCGAAGAGTGGACATATCGGCGGATTGGGCCGGCACCAGTCCAAGTTATCCTCCGGAGGCCGAGCGATACAGGGGGCCGGATGGAAATGGCCAAACCTGGCGCATCGAAGACCACAGGGCTGGCGACTTTCCAGACGAGGATTACAAGCGTCCATGGCGGAGGTATTAAAACACTTCCATGCGTTCCTCACCGGCCGAGACAAGGAGTGGTACCACGTACGTCAGTCCAGAGTCGTCCAGATATCCGTCTGTAAGATGAGAAGTCTACATAAAGTACACGAGCGCACAGAGACGGATGCGTATACTTCCCGGCAAGCGTGGGCCCCGCGTTGGGCGCCGTACGAACTGCCTGTATTCCTGGTCTCCTCCAAAGCTACCAAGTATTTCTTCGTTCCGCCAAACCTCGTTGTAGCGCCTCTCGAAATCCTTGGTTGATGTTGCAGTTGGAGTCGATTCCAGGAGGAGCTATCGATAGGCTAGATGAAGTAGCGATGGTTAGGGCAGCGCCACCCTTTTGGGCCTCGGGCAGATCATGTAAAATGTAAACATGTAACCTGGGCTTAGGATTTCTCTTAGATGGCCTTGGGGATGTCCGTTGACCCATCTTCGAGAGAGCCTGGGGAAAGATGGTAGGGAACATGGCGTGATTATACGGATCACCGGTAGTAGTACAAGAAAAGACGGACACGATAGACGTGGGAATTTAACCTCGTAGTGGTTGTGCAAATTTTTGTGAAAAAGTGAGTTAGTTTTTTTTTGTAGTTTTCTTTTGTAAAAATAAAATGTTTATTTTTGTTTAGGGAACCCGGGGTCCCATAATAAAGGGCCCCGGGATTCTTTTTTTTTGAGGAAACCCAATAAATACATTTCTGAAGAAGTCACATTTTGTCGACGGTTATTTTTCGCCGAAGGAAATATAATTTTTTTTGTGGAGCAAATATATACATATAACATATGGAAATATAAATATTCTGGAGAGGCCACAGTTTTTCGATCAACACAAAATTATAACATTTTTCGGAGGAACACCACTACGAAGTTTTCTGAGGAGAACGTGCGTTTGGAGGAACATTTTTGGAGAACCACGGCATCAAAGCCCAAGTCGACCCTCTAGGACTCCAGATCTCCGGTGAGTCCGTTCCGCGTCGGGGTGCCTCCGATAGTGGCCAACTTATGCGCAACTGGCTGGTACCACGAGGTTGGCCAGCAAAGTCCCTATACGCCTCCGAGTTCCTGGTGGTGCGATTTTCTGGTGGGCCGAGCCCAAACCCACCACTTCCTGAAATTGAGGAAAATCAATTAAAATAATGTGTAGCTTTTAAGAATTTAAATACCTTATATTGTTAAGTCTATTGTGCGTCCTTCCAAAGATTCACCCTTGACCGACGGTTGCTAAAATAAAAGGGTCGCAATTAATTAGGATGAAGGAATCAAGTGTGTAAATCTCCCATACCTTTCGGCGTCCCTTCTTTTCCCTTGGAGCTCCTCAGGATTAGGTGACCTTAATTTAAGCCGCGTAACCCAGAGAGTTCTGCCGATACAAGGGTGGCAGAACATTTTTGTCGGAGAGTGTCTATTCCTTGTTCTTAAATTTAGCTTTGACCGCTAAATATACTGATACGGCGGTTGATTGGCGATTCTGAGGTTAGATGAACAAATAGATTTTGAGGAAATGAATTAGATGCGAAATGTCAATTGTACTCACCTGAATAATTAAAGCCATTATAACGATGATGAATTGCTAGACCTTTTTCTGTGGGGGAGATGGAATTAAGTTAGTCGCCTGGAGTGACTTTCTGACCCATTATGGGCGATGTTTTAATAAATGCTTACGAAACATCCTAGGTAGGGTGGGTACGCAATGGCCAGGACACCAAAGGCCACTCAAAGGTCCAAAAATTTCCGCCGCCTGAGTTAATGTTTGAATTTAAATTTTTGTTTGTTTACATTTTATTAGTGATCGCAGAAAGTTAGTGTTGTGAGACGACCGTTATCGATGTTAGTATTTTATGTTGTCGGACTGCGGGCAATTGGGGAGAACTTGGCCCAAATGAGATCGCTGAGCTAGCGGCACTGCCCACCCAATAGCAGTTCGTAACATATATAATTTTTTTAGATTCGCAAAAAGCCATTACCACATTTGATTCACTACCTTACTGACAATAAAGTATTTGATATGTAGTGATTAGAACAAAAAACAGAAAGGAAATTGTTAAACAACCCATAAACTTTGATTTTAAATTGGTTTTTCATAAAATGTAAGAGTAAAAGTCAAAAAAATAGATATTTTATTTTTCCCTCACGCGGAAAAAAAAATACATTTTTAAATAACTTGTATATTTTGGGTTTAAATTCATATATGTCGCAGTGTTGTTCATACAGTGTAAGAGTAACAGTTGAAAATACGAAAGTATATTTCCTAAAAACAATTGCAAAACGGTCGAGGAAACATTTTTTGTAACAATAATAGGTATTTTTCTAATCTTTTCTTGTTTTGTTTTCAAAGAAAAAGTGAAATACGATTTGTGCTTAGATAATTCTAATTCATATACAGGGCACACTCTAAGTTGTTAACCTTTTAAAAGGCAAAATTTAATATTTTTGATTATGATTTTACTAGGAAACAAAAAAGTAAAGAAAAGGAAGGAACAAAGAGTTTGTTGGGTCAAATTTTCCATCGGCTTTTAAAGCACTTGATAAAAAGTTTTGAAGTGTAAATTCTTAAGAGCCATTTAAAAATAAAAACCGAACTTTAAACGGTTTTCACATGTTTACCATTTCCATGCACAAAATTCAAAGTAGAATCATATAAAAGTGTTTGCTGTTTGACTTTAAAATATGACCCTTAACCATTATCCACTGTCGAAATCCCCAGAGACAGTGTATAGATGCAATCACGTTCAAGGCTGCAATTTTCTATTTATTTTCCTCTGCGTTGATGAACGCACTAGTTCTCGCTCTCGAAAGGTTTCCTGCACCAGCTGCTCAATGAAAAGCGTTTAATTTTAGCCGCGCTCAGCTGTTGAACTTGGAAAATTGCCCACCTCTCGTCAATTAGGACCCCCTGCAAAAACCGCACGCGCGTTGTTTACTCCACGCATTTCGCCACCCAAGTTTGCTCTTTAATATTCGGCATGATAATTGTTTTGGAGGTGTGTGCCACACATTTACAGATAGCCACCTTATATACTCACTCCGCTGATAATTCGGTTCTGTTTGCCTTTTATAACGAGCAAACGAAACAAACCGGTTGGCGCGTTTAGCGTTTGGTGGGAGCAAACAGCAGCGCGGGTCTATCGATCTCTTCTGGAACCCTCCTATCTATTTCAAGACGCCATAAGCAGCTCAGCTAAATCTTATCAACTCAGGCTGATTATACATAGAGTTCTTAAAGCGCTGAGCAAGTTCCATATTTAGTGCCAGAATGACTCGACTTGGATCCAAAACAAAGTTCAATTGCCAAGTTTTAGATTGCCAGATAGCTCTTTTATGGCCAATAATTTTCTAATTGTGTAAAGCCGTTTAATTGCCTATTTTTGAACCTACGCCAAGGGAGAAATTCTTCTGTCAATTAGAAAACAATTGCGAAACAAGAAATTTGATTTTAATCACTTGCACATTTTTTCTGTATTAACAACACACACCTATTTTTTCTCTGTGCTTCTGCACTTAAAAAAATAAGACCAAAAATAGATTATCAGTAAACTATTTTTGTTTACTTCAACTTTTTAATCGATGGTCACATAAATCCTTTTCCAAGAAATTCGAAAGTGCTGTGTTTGCCGCAGATCTGATAACAAATCAAACAAATTTCTACGAAATTTTCCACCCAAAAATAAATTTTCACAAGATTATAGGACTTTTCGTTTCTAAATATAAATGTTTAGAAGTAAAACTTCCAAAAGGTTTTAGAATATTAAGATTAAATTAGACAATACTATAAAAAGATTTATTTTTTGTTTAAATACATTTTTATAAGTATTTGGCTAGTGCTAGTATTTTGGCCGCAACTGTGCTTGTGCACCCACGAATCATTTTTCTGCCGGGAAGTCTTATAAAAGCGAAGCAATTTTCGCAGGGTTCAGATTAGTTATTGGCCATATTGAGCCGTTATCTATCAGCTGTCCCGATAAGCCCCCGCTTATGGGGCAACATACTCGGCTCGAGTTGGCATTCAAATACGATTTCTTTTCAGGTCCCCATCCAGAGTCTGCCATGAGCCGTCTCCTGGACAAGCCCAACATCGCCATGTCCATCAAGTCAACGGGAAGTCAGCTCTCCACTTCGGTGGCCACCTCCGCGGCGACATCGTCCTCGGACTTGGAAGATGCGGACACATCCCGGACCCATCCGAAACCCTTAGAGACATCAGCCTTTGCATCCGCAGAAGTGGCCGCCACACCAATGTCCACTGCAGCCAGTCCCAGCGCGAAAGTTACACCCAGTGAGTAAATAAGGATTCGAAGCTAATTTAAGAAATACTCTATAGCACCGAGAAACAAAAAAAAACACATAAAAAGTGTTCCCACCTCACATTAGACCAAGTATCCTTTGACAAAAAAAATTTTTATTTATAAACTTTTCAAATCGAATGGATTTCGATTTTAATATTTCATTGGAACTAATAATACAAAATTCGTGTATCCATATATATTCAAAACAAATTTAATTTTAATTTAAAAAACAATTTTTTAAATTTATTTCTGAAATAAACATTTGTAACTATAAAAAAGTTATTTAAAAAACTTTACATTAATAATAGCAAGAGGAAGGAATTAAACCGGATCGATGATACGTTTGATTTTTATTTTCAAAAATTATATGTACCAAAAAAATTAAAGACACTAACCTTGTAAAAATTGTTCAGTTTATATGTAAAATCTTGTTTACTCCTTTTTGCATATTTTTATAATATTTTCCTGAAAAACTGCTTAAAATCATTACCTAGTTTTTGTCAATACACAAACATAATAATCTAAAAAAACCACATTTTTCGATTGCCAGCTTCTAGTGCGTTCAATTTTAGTAAATATTTTTATTTTTGGACCTACGCCAAGGGAGAAATGCTTTTGTCAATTACGAAACAATTGTGATAGGTGAAATTTAGCATGAAATTGCAAAATGTTTTTTTCTATCGACAATCACACACATTATTTTTCTGAGCTCGTGCATTTTAAAAGGTATCACAAAAAATATTTACTTTTCATATTTACAATTAGTCAAGTATTGTTGTTTACATAAATTTTTAATCAATGAATAACAAAAATCACTTTCCACGAATTCCAAAGTGGGTTTGTTGCTTATCAGATTACAAATCAAACAACTTATTAATTTGCACATAAACCTTTATAAGACGAAAAGTACAGGTTAATATTCGCGAACTTCTTAAAAAAGCTACAAGATGCATTTGGGATTAAAACTAGATTTTCTTTTTCTGAGACTTAAAATCGTATAAAAAATTTTATGTTATTGTGGTTAATTCATTTACCAACATTTAAAAAACCGTTATAGTAGGCCGATAGCCAAGATTGACATCTACCTGACATGACAATGACAATTACAAAATTAAGATTGAAGAAAAATTATATGTATTAGCAAAGTAAAGTAAATTAAAATTAGATTGGAATGCAATAAATAGGCTTAGAATGTCTCATGTTAGCTTAACCAGTGATTAGTTGCAATAAAGTGATACGTTTTCATGTTGATTGATGTCCCTACCATTATTGTTCATTGAACGTGACGCATTTCGGGGTATGAAATGGTATAAAATTTATAAACAAATATGTTCTGAAACACTCAATCTGTTAAGAATAAGATTGTAGTGAGATTGGGTGCTAATCACGAAACTTTCTTTCTTCCAGTGCGTCAGAAAATCGACCAGGTGGTAATCAGTCTGGTTTCGGGAGCGGCCGCGGGGGCGCTGGCCAAGACTGTCATTGCCCCGCTGGACCGCACCAAGATCAACTTCCAGATCCGCAACGATATTCCCTTCTCGTTCCGCGCCTCACTGGTCTACCTGCAGAAAACCTATGCCAACGAGGGCCTTTTGGCTCTGTGGCGGGGGAACTCGGCCACGATGGCCAGGATCGTTCCCTACGCCGCCATTCAGTTCACGGCCCACGAGCAGTGGCGTCGCATCCTGCATGTGGACAAGGACGGCTCAAAGTGAGTCTATATCTCTTCTAGATTTATTAATTTACTTACCAATCACTTTGATTATTTTTAGCACCAAGGGGCGTCGGTTTTTGGCTGGTTCCCTGGCGGGAATTACCTCCCAATCGCTAACGTATCCTTTGGACCTGGCCCGCGCGAGAATGGCAGTCACAGACCGAACTACTGGTTACCGGACACTGCGACAGGTCTTCACAAAAATCTGGGTGGAGGAGGGTCCGCGGACGTTATTCCGTGGCTACTGGGCGACGGTACTCGGTGTGATTCCCTATGCGGGCACCTCGTTCTTCACTTACGAGACGCTCAAGCGGGAATACCTCGGTAAGGATTCAGGCTTACTAGTACGATTCATGAATCATCAGCATGTGTTGCACAATATTTTCGGATTGCTTAACAAAGTTATTAAGCCCACTTTTGGCAATTAACCTATATTTGTACCTAATTCAAAACCATTATTGGTATTTGTCAGACTGTGTAAGGCCATTAAAACCTTACAAACTATTAAACAGTATAGAACCCAATTCTATAAATTAGTATAATTACCAATAGTCTCTAAGCACAAGTTATGTGAAAAATTACCAAACTGTAAAGTGGTTTAACTAATTAATTCATTTGTTCGCTTTTAGAAATGGTCGGTAGCAACAAACCCAATACTCTAGTCTCGCTGGCTTTCGGGGCTGCGGCAGGTGCCGCTGGTCAAACGGCCAGTTATCCATTGGACATTGTGCGGAGAAGAATGCAGACGATGCGGGTGAACGTGGCCAGCGGAGATCGCTATCCAACCATTTTGGAGACGCTCGCAAAGATCTACCGGTAAGGAATCACTTTTCTATTGAGGAAATCATATTTAAATTGGCTTTCTTTGTCCTTTCAGCGAGGAGGGCATCAAGAACGGCTTCTACAAGGGTCTGAGCATGAACTGGATCAAGGGTCCTATTGCCGTTGGCATCAGCTTCTCCACCTACGATCTGATTAAGGCGTGGCTCACAGAGGTGTCCCATTTGAGGAATGGGCGGTCCGAAAAGTAGCCCCAGCCACATGTCAACCAAAAACACCGCACCAAAAACGCACTGCTTTGTTCTTAAGTCTCGTGATCGATGAATATGTTGAGGAGATAAAAGTGCAGCACCGACATGCTCTAACTGTTAGATATTTTTAGCTGTTAGTTTTGAGGGAGAAGCGATAAAGAGAAGTCACCCTAAGCGCTTTACTTTGTTATTAACCGTAATTGATTTATTATCGCCGTAAGCCGAAAGTATATCAGTCAATAAACCGTCTGAATAATGACTCGCCTGGCCCAACTACTCCCCAGGATTTCGTTCCAGGGTCCAGTTCGTATTCAATGGTATTTCTTGGACAATAACTTAACCGTACATGCCACTTGTTTACTTCTAGGCTAATCATTTAAAGATTTACTCTAAACATTTTGTATATTGTATATTTCAACCTAGATGTCAATGCCATGAATTTAAGGGTGTTCACCAGCGAAACCATCTTATGCATATACTGTGTACTACTTTGTAATTCTTATATGTTAGTGTGTTTTTATTATTAAAATTTACAAAATTGTTTAAAAGGTTGATTCTTTTACTCCTTTCAAATAAGCGCGCCTTTGACTGTGCAAGGTGGCAACACCGTGGACTTAGCGATTACTTCTCTTCCGGGGGTACTGACTATCGAAATCTCTATTGGCTAGTCGCGTTCGCAAAATTTCGAGTACGCAAAAAACGAAAACAAGTTGTTTTAACTGTGTTTAGATAGTGATATTAAGGTCTAGTTGCACTGCAAGTGCATGATAAAATAACCGCGTGCTGCAGGCGGTGCTTTTACATGCTACAAGGGGATTTTTCTTACCACCTGCCACCGACAAAGGGCCATAACCAAAAAGGCAACCTGAGAGGTGAGTCCTCGGCGAAAAGTGAAAAAATTAATTATTTACGTGTATTGATTCGTCGGGAGCCCATCCTTAAACCCTCCCCCTCAAAATCCGCCTGTCGCGCGAATGTGGGCGGCATACCCATGGTCGCTTGTTGCTGCGCACAACAGGTGAAATTGAAGGTCCTTGTGCTTGCAGAGTACACAAAAGTTCAAACAAGAAATACTTATCAGGCTTTTCTTTGCTTTTGGTAACCTTGACTTTGGTGGACATATCAATTAAATGCAATTAATTACACCGCAAAATAGCTGCATGTGTGTGTGTGTGGGAGTCTGTGTGTGTACAGACAACCTGCGCATATTAATCTGTGGCGCCACATTAACACCAAAAAATCGCGTGTAAACAAACCTATGATTAATAAATATTTGTTTATCGACATAAGCTCAGTGAATTGTTTATTTATTTATTCGCGGCTGTTAAAATAGCTGTTAAAAGGTTTTTGTCCACACTATCCGCTTTTTCCACCTGCCGATTGGTCTTCAAACTTATATTCTCTGAAAAGTCTCAAACCTCTATGATATTTACCGTATACAAATGGTAGCGTTATTTCATTATTTCCCGATAAGTCTTGTCACTTTTGATCACTTTCATTTTTATTTCTTTTTAAATCAATTATAAAAAAGAACGGTTTTGTTATTATACCATGTATAACAGTACATTTCTGGTAGAAAACGATGTACTGAATATTTTTGGTGAAAAACTGTGGTGTGCAGCACTGTAGTGGAGACCAGGGCGACCGGTGGTACACAACCATCGGAGTCGTTTGTGAGTTAACCGAATAGGTGTTTTGGCATTATGTTTTAAACACTAACAGGGACATAATTAACAATAATTGCAGGGCAGCTACATGGTTTGTTGGCGAGTTGGGGGAGGTTCGTTTCATGTTTATTCTGTTAATATTTTCTGTTAAAAGCGTTAAAGGGGAAAGCGCCTCCAGCGGACGATGACTCGTTTATCGAATCCTATCGAAAGAAGCGATACAAAATCGTTATAAAGACACCATCTCTACATTTAGCCAACAAACGAACTGTTCAAAAGCGGACCGATTTCCGAGTGCGCGACTAGTTGAATTCTTTTGCAAGTGCAATCTTCTTTCGGGACTCGCTTTTCCATTTGATTTTGTTTTTGGCAGGACTCGGTACTTGTTGAATTTCGAATTCGTGTGCGGGTGTGTCCCCGTGTCTCTCGCACTGCGTGTGTGTGTTTGTGTGCGTGAGGCGAACACGATTTAAAAATAAAACGGCAAATACATAACAAAAAATATATTGAAGAGCAACAGCGGCGGGCGTACCAATACAAACAGAGCGATACCAGCCAGTCGTGTGCGTGTTTACACAGTGTTGTTGCGCTGGTGTTTAAGTACCAAAGGTAAATAGAAAATAGGAAAAAAGAGCAAAAGGGGGGCTTTTTGGTGCATGTGTGGGTGGGAGGACCCCACTGCATTTGTGCACTGCGCAAAAGGAGTGGGTGGGATATTGGGTGGGTGGTCGCAAGGCCTTCGGGAAGGTTCTTTGAGTTTTTTGGCCACGAAACCAATGCACCATCATGTGTTAACACTTGAGGCTTTATTTATATACAAACACACACATGTGTGTGCAACGCGCGCTCCTGTTTCTCACTCTGCTTCTTCCTCGTCCATTGTTGTTTCCTGGAAAGCCCATAAAAACAAAGGCAACAAGAATTTCGAGTGCAATAGCACAAATGGCAGCAACAACAACAGCGCACTGCTATCGAGTATATTAGCTGTTCCTCATCTCCCCGTCCTGCTCGGACTCTTGCACGGAAAAAAATAAGTGTGATAAGAAACAGAATTAGTAAATATTTTTCTTATTAAGGTACATACGTTATAAATAATATTCTTATAACGAGTGTCTGTAATTAAATTTCTTTGATAGTTAAAAAAATACTTTTGTTTTAAAAAATCTATTTTTTAAATCTCGGTATACAAATTTAAAAAAAAAACTGGATTTAAAAACGTATATATTCTTTTCTCTGTATCTGGCGTATGGGGCTATCATTCTCATATTCACATGCTACTCTTGCTTTCATACGTCGCCGACTTCTGCGCGCTCAACACTTTTATCTTGCTCGTTGTCGTCGACCGTTTTCCCCTTTCTTCCCTCTGCAACCCTGACTTCTTGGCCCGGCTATAACCCGGCTATAACTCGGCTGTCTCTTACCACTTCGGACAAATTACGATTGTCAACGACGCCAACAGTAACCCCTTGGCGTTTCACATTTGATAAACCTGGTAGTTGCGGGCACAATAGATTAATATTGGTCACAGTCTGGCGTCTAATCGATGGCTAAATGGATAGGGGATTTTTGACAGTTCGGTCAAAAGAGTTTACCACCTAAATTTAATGTTACTGCACATATTGGAGTAATTTTTCAAGTTCTAGTGTCCCGAAGTCAGCTTACCATTATTTCAACAATTAAAACAATTGAATGCACAGGGTACTCAAAGTTCGATTTCCCACCGAGTCTTTATATCTTTTAATAATTTCAAACAGCTTGGATTGCAACATATGCAGAAAAGTTTAATGCCGCCGATCCAATCCACATGTGCTTAAAGTTATTTCTGGAACTGTAGATATGGGCAGTGCTAATTATTACGCGATTATGGGAATCACTGTCCTCGAGCGCAAATCAAGCTCTGTTTCTTATCGCCGAGTTCCCCTTATTTACTTTGTTACATTGACACCTCGTTATCAATGTTGCTTATTGCGTTGCATTTAATCGTTGCTGCAGACGTAAATGTAGCTATTTGCTTCCAGTCTCAATAGATTGGGTTTTTACTGTACTTACACTTATTACGACCCCTTATCAAACGCCCTATGCTTTAATAGTTTTAACTTGAGCTCTGACGATGAAAAAGCAGTGCAAAAATACTTAAAGCACTTCAAAATCAAAAGGTTCTAAGTGTATATCGTTTCTTATAACTCTGTTTACATCCTACTACAAATAATTTAAGCTGATAGGATATTTAAAAAAAAGTTCTTATGAAACAAAAATTTTCCGGTCTTCTGAATTCTGCCACTGAAAAAATCCAAGGTTGGTATTAATTTTTGAACAAACACCACAAGTTTTAGTGACCCAAGTGACCTGAGCCGATAAGCAGTTCATTTTGTTAAGACTTTGCTAAGGCTAATTATAAACTGACAAATTAAATTTCAAAAATAATCTTAATAAATACATTAAAAGTTGACAAATAACAAAATGTTTATTGTTTTTTTTTGATAACCTGTCTGATCCTAAAGTTGTTCAAATGTACATACATGTTTTTTTTTTAACATTGTTCTAAACACGTCGATTGCAACACAAGTATTTAAAAGTTAATGTTTATATGTATATTATTTTAAAAACATAATTGCTGCCAAAAAATGTAGTGATAAGTAAGTTTTAAAAACGAAACACGTGTCGAAACGGACTTTTATACATATGTTTCTCCGCATAAGTGTATTTGGTGATAAGAAACCAAATGCTCAGCTCAGTTTGAAATAGCCCAATATGCTCCAGTCCATGCGACGCCTTCGAATGGAAAACAAAAGCCGACAAACATTGTGCAAAATGTCAGGCGAGCAACAACGATAAATGATTACTTAAATAACACTTGGCGGGGCGAAGAAGACAGTTTGTGGGGTAGTTGGGGTAGTGCAACGACGGTGGGGCGTTTGAGCGTTCCCTGGTCGATGTTCGGTATACACCCACACATCGACAGGCCGAAGAACACTGAGGCATGCTTATTAAACTTTTATGAGTGCAAAAACAAATACCACAAACGCCCCCCTACACACAGCAACCGTGACTGTGTGTGCGTTGTTTATAAAAAATTGAATAAGAAAAATACAAAATATACGCCTGACTCGCAAATGTCGAAGCAGCAGAAAGCAAAAAGCGAAGAGAACGGCAAAGAACAACAAAGCCAGAACCCTCGCTCGTGGGGGATTCGATTCGAGGGTTTTTTAAATGGTCAGGAGCTAGAAGCCGCCAAGGGGCCGAGAAAATTGTAGTGGCCCATTGCGTTATTAGCCACACAGTCCAACTTCTACGCCTCACAAGCTTACATTTTCTTTACCGGGTGGATGACGAATATTTAAATTGGGATATTCGTGTGCCACTGAAAGAAAGTATATATGAAATTTTTTTAATATTTTAATGTGAAACAACTAAAGCTTTAAACTAAAGTCTTCGGCTTTTCCATTAAACATAATATATATTATGTGCTATGGGTTTTGTGTATTGAGGTGTCACTGTATTACCAGTTGTCTCACGTTTTATGATACGTAGTTTGGGGCTGACTTATCAGTGCCGGGCTGCTGTTATAAAACTTTCCACTAGCGGTTCTTGGATTCCTTGGAGCTTTTCAGTTCGCATGAAAATGGGGATCTTTTCTATCTGGCCTATCTTGTTTATACGCCCACTTTGCAGATAACACGTTTTCCAGAATTTTCGCTGTGGCAATACGCCAACTTTTGTGTGCATACTACTTTTGGGGATTATTCTCAATCTGTATCTGCAGATTGTTTATCCCAAAGATTTCGCAGCGCAGATCTACAAAGATAAACAAAGTGGCCCGCTGTGGAGTATCTATCGTTTGCCCGGTTTGGTAGCGTCGTCGATGAGTCACCATCCACCATCAAATGCTTATCTTAAACGCGCCTATTGACTTTTTCTAGCTCAGCATTAATCACACGGCTAAAAGTGCAATTGGGCCATTTTCTTGTTCTCTCTCTTCCTCTCTCTCTCTCTCTCTTTCGCTCTCTTTTCCTCTGTCTGTATTTCTCTGTTTGTTTGCGATCCGCTTTTTGTTTGCCGAACGACAGCAAAAAGCACATTTTTGTGTGGGCAGCTGGCCGGCGAGAGCTCGTTTAGATACAGATACTCGTGCACAGATACGGATACATAGAAACAAACAATCCGTTGGTCAAGAATGTGTGTATGCCATAACAATTGGCACCCAATTGTAAATGCAGATTACTATGCGGGTTTTCCCCCAATAAGCACTGACTTATATTTTTCTTGGATCCGCTGCTTTACATACCCCACAAACGGATACAAAAAGCCGCCCAACCAGTTCAATTTTCGCTGCAACAGCCAAACCACTTTCCTTGCATGCACAGGCTTTTCATTGCAGATAATCCCAAGGTCGTCAGAGACACTGCAAGATTAGATTATTGATAAATTAAAAAATATATAAATTCTTATCACCAATTCCGAGAATTACTGACTGACCCAAAATGTCATAAAATAATTGCAACAATACACTATATCATAAGACGCATACAAACTGTCGGATTTCCGGACAGCTAAACTGATTTGTTTCGCTTTTATTTGAGGGTACATAGTATATGCATTGGATAAACGGCGATTCTCCGAACGCTTACCGAAAGATAGACGTCAATGCAAATTCAAGTTTTGCAACTGAAAACATTTTCGCCGTCGAGAGATCGAAATGAATTTATACATACATTTAAAAAATGGAAAAAGCTTCGTTACACATTTGTTGTGGTCGTGGTGGAAGTATATTTGTATTTGCGTGTGTGACGCTCTTCTGAGGTCTGTCGTATACACGTTTTTAACCCCCTAAAGCCGGCCAGTCGTGGGGTTATCTTTCACCTCACCGTTTATTTGGCCCAGAAGCCCCCGTGGACGTGTGTGAACATTTACAACCTCGTACACATTAATAATGCCGACTGGCGTGTGTGTAGCTGCAACTTGGTAAATATATTTCGCACTCCACCTCTGCCCCTCCGAACTAACACACATTCTATATGGCGTTATAAATCGCTATATAATGTTGGTTATGCGGGGGAGCGGTTGTGTTCGCCGGCTAACTACCGGTTATCGCGGCTTTTGTGGTCAAATGAGTGCCGACTAATGTTGTACCTATAAAAAAAAAGAAAAAACACGCATTATAATAAAAGATAATTTTCTTTAAAGACTCCATTATATTGTGCTGTTCGAATTTATCCATTTACTTTTGTGCAAACCTACTTTCTAACCTTTTCCGAGAATTCATTTTAAAAACTTTTTACGAATCATTCTCTAACAAAAATTGACATGTAACGAAGCACTAAAAAAACATACAGCAAAATTAATGATGAAAAAATTAAAAGAACCTTTACAAATATTTTTTAATGATATTTAAACAAATTATGGAAATAAGAAGAGAAAAAATAAAATATTTTTGAAACGTTATTATCGCATAACTCTAGGATTACGAAATCTAAGAATATCAAAAGGTCTTTCGGTCTTTGTTCAAAAGGTCTTTTGGTCTTTTGAAATTCTTAGATTTCGTAAACCTAGACTTATGCGATAATCGACAACAGAAGACTCGGATAAGTCCAACAACAATTAGGAAGTGGAAATGTTCCAAAAATATTTTTTTTTTCCTTTTAATTTCCATAATTAGTTTAAAGTGACTAACGGGAACTGTTTGTTCTTTATCAGTTGTCTTTGCTTAGATTTTTGTTAATATTGTGTTGTTATTTATTTTTCCCAGTGCCTCTTGGTCTGACGTCTCGCAATGGGGAGATTTTATGCTTTTAGCACTCAATACCAAAACTTAAATTTTTTTTATTTTGTCTGCGTCTGTGGTTTCGCGTGGTTTGCTTTGTTTTCCTTTTCATTCAGCGTTGCTGCTCGTGCGGATAGCAAAACCTAAGCTGATTTCTTTGGCACAGCGTAACAAGACCAAGATAAACCAAAAAAGGACTTCGTCTGGTATCAAATATTTCAAGATTAGGTTGGCAAGCGTGACGTATTTTTTTACTTACGTACTTAACAGTCCCGAAAAACTCTGCACTCACATAGTTTGGTCCCCAAAGACAAGAGTCACCCAAAAACTATTGCGATATAGACTGCTGTGGGAAATGTTGGGCCCCGAGGAGGGTCGGTGGCCACCCAGTCGTCCATCCATGCAATTTTGGTATTTAATTACGGCCTGCGGTTGGTTATTTTCGTTGATATTATACGCCAGTGTTCTCCAGTTATGACTCTTCAAAAGGCTCTGTGCGTAAATTAACATATTAATGCCATTAGCCGAATTTCATAATAATATGTTTAACGGCATACAAATTTTTGCAGTTCAGTCACTGTAATTTTGAAGTTTCTAATAAACAGAAACTCTTCGCTTTTCCTCGAAGCAGTGGAGGGCTATTTAAAGTTGGCAAATGGACCTGATAAGTTTCTCGTTCGGTTGTTCGACTAGTTTTCCACCTAATCCAAACGCAATCTTTCATGGCAATTGATTCATCGATGGCTTTTGGTCAGCGTCTTATCAGAGCATGGTAATAATATATGAAACAAGCCAATTTCCAGCAAACCCTGATTATTCTAACTACTTCGGCGTAATTTTCATATCATTCAAAATGGTTTGCCATTCTGGCGTTGTCATTTTCGTTTCGGCCTTATCAAATGAATGTTTGAGGTATAAAAGTGGGGAGTTTAATTAATCAAGTCTTCAGTTGAGTTTCCTAAATCGATCGGTAAAGACCTGCAAAAACTTCATTCAATTTAAATATAGCATTTATTTGTTTGTTTTTCTGTGATTTGTTATTGTTTTGATGGAAAAGCGATCCCCGATTGTGACATATTCAATACTTCGACGGGCTATCACTTGTTGATTGTTTGGTTGATTGTTTGTAAACAGTCGGCTCGACTGCACTGCAGCCAGCTGTAAGCCTCTGCTCTTCTCAGATAACCCAAGTGGGATCAGGGAGAATTTCATTTCAAAGCTGGTCAATCAATCGATACGAGAAATCAAAACATCCACTAGTCGAGGCTTGGGTCCTGTTTCGCCTGAAACTTTTCAATTGATAACCCTCAAAGCGGGTGACTCATTGAAAATGCAGCTGTGTGCCTGTAATAATTTTTCAGTTTTTAGAGCTGATAACAAGCGGAAAAACACTTCTAAGGCCGCTTGTCGCTGTTCCTAATATGGGAGACCCAAAAAAAACTGGCCAACTTGGCGGAGGTAATTCCAACTGACTCGGCACATTAGAGGCAACCAAACCAGAACCTTGAACTACTTTGCTTTGGACTAAAAAGCGCCGAAGGGCAGAAACAGCAGCAACCTCAGCAGCAGAACACACTTATGAATAGAAAGAAACCTGCCTGCGAGTGAACCATTCTACCCAATCGTATTGGTTCCATCTACCTAAGCCGACTGAGTGACTCCCTGACTCTCATACCTAGTGAGCCGCACATCCGAATTCGGTTCCTGGGGCAGGTATCGCGACCTGTTTTGTTGATCATAGCTCCTCTCCTTCGGGCTGGTCTGGTCTGGTCTGGTCCCTTTGTTCGGGCTGCATTTTCGGGCCTGTTTCGGTCATTAGATCCTTATCTAATTTCGTTGCTCGGTCTGGAAACGGACTGGTTTGCCTTGTTTGCACCACTCTTTCAACTTATCCAACTTCTTCGTCTTCGTGGGCCATTCATATTTGCTACGTGAGCGTCGCGCTGGCCTTTTTTCCGGGTAACTACAGAAATTAGCGTATCGACCACAAAAGCAAACACGCTTCGGTTCGGGTTCGGATTCGAGTTTGGGTTTGGCTGGTGAGTCTGGACCTGCGTCTGGGTTACCGCTCATTTACGGTCACGTTTCGACGACGAGAAATTGTCGCCGGTGCTGCGCACTGTGGACCTGGCCAAGAAACGAGAAACAAGAAACGAGACAGGAGATAGAAGATAGAAGACAGAAGACAGGAGAAGGGCTCGGCCAGTGGCCACCGGGCTGCCTTATCAGCAGTATTTAGCATGGCCATAAAGAGTCGAATTCCCCACGGATCGGACTCGCCCGGCGGTGCAATTAATTTTCACACCTGTTGTTCGGAGCGTCTCGAATTCACCTCACGCGTTGTTTTGCCTCGTTTTGTTTACTTTCTCACTTGCGTGCGAGCTGGTTTTTCTCGCCGTGTTTGCCATTTGCAATAATTTTTGATATGGTAATTAAAGGCTAAAGCCGGTCTCCTGCTCGCGTTCATTCAGCTATTTACCGCGCTCATAAAGTCATGTTCTATGACCTCACGCTACGACTGGGGATCTGTTCCCATCTGTAAAGCTCCCAACTAATTATACCTACATTACCTTAATTGAACATATTTATTCAGCTACATATTGATTCTAAATTTGAATAGAATTTGTATATAAATATATATAAATTTGTTGTATAAATATTATACCATCTAGTACATTTCGTTCTTAAAATTGAAATAGTTCCCAATGTAAAAATCCATTATTATCAGTTATTTATGACGTGCAATAGTACTAGAAGTCGTAACAAAGATGTCTTATTGAATAACATTTACTTTACCTTTCGTTATGACACAAACATCATTATGTTTGTTTGCATTTGGTTATTTGACCGAAGGGGGACTTCAAACCTTGTTAGATTAGTAAACAACTAGCTGTCTTTGTGGGTATACGACATGGGGCTCGAACTGCAGTGCAAATACGGTTGAAATCACAAAGGGCTGCGTTATCCTGAATCCGTCAAAACCATAGCGTCATCACATCACATTAATTCGATATCGGAAGTCATTTCAAACTACTCACTTACCCACATGTACATATGCTTGTGTATTTATAGTTTCCTCCTAACCATACATAAAAACCAAACCAAATCACATAACGATCTCGTTCGCATGCTTGCGAATGCATTTTATGGACGCCTCAGACTCATTTGCCTGTGGAAACCAGCCGGACCTTGATCGGGCCAAGAGCCTCATCAAAAAGTCCCTGAACCGAAATTGAAAACGATACAGAAACAGATCCAGAAACCAAGTCAATCCGAACCGTTGCATTGATCACCATACCCATTCAGCTGTCATAGCTAAGCATCCACACTCACAAAACACCATCATCATAATTGTCGGGTAGAGCAAGAGCATGAGCCTTTGGAAGCGCATCTCCGGTCATGCCGACTGCGAGCAGCGTATGGCGGCCTACTACGATGAGAAGGGTCTGCTCGACCTGCGCCTCTGCCTGGCGCCCTGGATCGAAGACAGGATAATGTGAGTAGAGTGGGGTGTACGTGGGTGATTTGAGCCAGCAGTAGGATACGGTTAAGTCGGCTTAAATACGGATTAACATGTTCTAATAGTCGGCTGTTTTCCATTCCCCACAGGTCCGAGCAAGTGACACCAAACTCCCCGGAGCAGTTGGAGCGCGTGGCCCTCAAGTTCAACGAGGATCTGCACCAAAAGCTTCTGTCGACGCGTACTGCCACCGATCAGGCCCTCAAGTTCCGGGTAGTGGAGCTCTGCGCCCTCATCCAACGCACCTCCGCGGTTGAGTTGTACGCACACCTGCGCAGCGGCCTACAAAAAGAGCTGCAGCTAGTCACCGAGAAGAGTGTGGCTCCCACTGCAGGCCAATCGATGCCGCTCAATCCCTACAGCATGAACAGCACCCCCATGGTAACCGGCTACATGGACACCAGTGATATACTGGCGGTCTCCAACACCTACAACCCTTCAGTGGTCCAGGGCATTGGCGCCATTCACAATGTGCAGAATGCTGGCATTGCCTCGCCAGCCCTCGGAATGGCCACGCCCAAGGTGGAGCTGTACGAGGTCCAGCACCAGATCATGCAGACCCTCAACGAGTTCGGTAACTGTGAAAACGCTCGGCGGCTGCTCGTTCAGAACTACAGCAACATGCTGAACTACACATCCTCGCCGAACGCAGAGGCTGCATTCAGAAGCCTGATAGACGAGAAGGCGGCCATCGTGCTCACAATGCGTCGCAGCTTCATGTGCTACGAATCCCTGCACGACATGGTCATACACGAGCTGAAGAGCTGGCGCCACCAGCAGGCGCAAGCCGGAAACGGAGCTCCTTTCAATGAGGGCTCTTTAGATGACATTCAGCGTTGCTTAGAGATGCTCGAGACGTTTATCACCCACATGCTGGCTGCTGTGAAGGAGACGATGCGCGTGCGTCTGGTCAGCGAGGAGCCGGAACTTACGCATTTGCTTGAACAGGTGCAGAATGCACAAAAGAACCTGGTCTGCGCCGCCTTCATCGTGGACAAGCAGCCGCCACAAGTAATGAAGACCAACACGCGCTTCGCGGCCTCCGTGCGCTGGCTCATTGGCTCCCAGCTGGGTCTCCACAACAATCCGCCCACAGTCGAGTGCATCATCATGTCAGGTGGGACTAGATTATGCTTCCGCTCTTGTGCATATGCTCACAGTTTTATTGTTCTTCTTTTCCCACAGAAATCCAAGCTCAGCGGTTCGTTACGCGCGGCTCTCAGATGGACAACAGCCTGCCCGGTCAGTCGTCGGGCGAGATACAGAATGCCTCCAGCACCATGGAGTACCAGCCGAACAACCATGTGTTCTCCGCCAGCTTCCGCAACATGCAGCTTAAGAAGATCAAGCGGGCTGAGAAGAAGGGCACCGAGAGCGTCATGGACGAGAAGTTCGCCCTGTTGTTCTACACCACCACCACAGTGAACGATTTCCAGCTTCGTGTGTGGACCCTGTCCCTGCCCGTGGTGGTGATCGTGCACGGCAACCAGGAGCCCCAGTCCTGGGCCACCATCACTTGGGACAATGCTTTCGCGGAGATCGTACGCGATCCCTTCATGATCACCGACCGTGTCACATGGGCCCAGTTGTCGGTGGCGCTAAACACCAAATTCGGATCGTGCACAGGACGTTCGTTGACGATCGATAACCTGGATTTCCTCTGTAAGTTGGATCGCCAGAATTGCCAACTGATCGGTCCTAATTTTACTCGTATTTGCAGACGAGAAACTCCAGCGTGAGGAGCGGTCTGAGTACATTACGTGGAACCAGTTCTGCAAGGAGCCCATGCCCGACAGGACGTTCACCTTCTGGGAGTGGTTCTTTGCCATCATGAAACTCACCAAAGACCACATGTTGGGCATGTGGAAGGAGGGCTGCATTATGGGCTTCATTAACAAGGCCAAGGCGCAGGATGATCTGCTGCGTTCTTCTTACGGAATCGGCACCTTCCTGCTGCGCTTTTCCGACAGCGAACTAGGTGAGTGCACATCCCTTGTCTAACTGTGTTGCAGAGTTTTTATACAGTTTGGTTGGATTGCAGGTGGAGTCACCATCGCCTATGTAAACGAAAATGGACTGGTCACCATGCTGGCACCCTGGACTGCTCGTGACTTCCAGGTGCTGAACCTGGCCGACCGCATTCGTGATCTGGACGTACTGTGCTGGCTGCACCCCAGCGACCGCAATGGCAGTCCCGTGAAAAGGGACGTGGCCTTCGGCCAGTTCTACTCTAAGCGTCAAGGTAAGAATGCGATCCGAGGTAGCACGGTCCAACACTCCTAATCAGAGCCTGAACCGCTCGTTCTAGATCCCGTGACCGGCTATGTGAAGAGCACTTTGCACGTTCACGTTTGCAACAATGGTGATACCGGGTCCACCAGTGGCACCCCGCACCACGTGCCGCAGCAGGAAATGCAATTGGGAAAGTAAGTTTGGCATGCCGCCGCCGCAATAATAAAGCAAATCCGCCGTCAACAGCAACAACAAAAATGATGACCCGTTTATTAATATTTCTGTTTAATTGCTTGAGTAGAGCTAATCCTCGGCCCGAGATGATTGACAAAGCCTTTACGTTGCGGCTGACCCGCCTTATTTGTTTCTGCTTTCTTGCTTTACTTCACTTTACGTTGTTATGATTATGATTTTGACAAAAACGTTTAATTAGATTGCAATACTTTGAATTCGAAAAACACGTTGGAAAGGCGCAAAACGGCGAAGCCGAATGCGTTCGATCCTGACTAACCCGAAATTGAGGCTTTTTGTTATATGAACTAATAAAATTGATTGGAAACTCTGTGTGGTTGGGCCTTTAATGCGCTCTCCATGTCACTTGACCCTTTTTGATTTGTACTCACACAGAAACTGACGAACCCAACTCTTTGTTTATTTTTATTTTCAACCTATTGCGGCTATTGATTTTCGTGTGACGGTTCAGTTTCTCGCCACTGAGCGCCATCACTAACCCTAGCCCAGCACGACACGAGGAATCAGATTCCGATGATAGCGAAACGGCCGAGGCCCTAGAGAGAATCGTAAATGGCGCTCAACCCAACGATCCTGTGATAAGTGAGATCTTTGATGCCATAATGACGAGCTCCTGTAGACAGTACGTTTACAATTATTAAGCATGAGCTGTGCCATCGCCCCTTATTCAGGCCATCCAAAAGGGATTGCTGGATATTGGGCTCTAGTTGATTGAACCACTTACCGAAAGGTATAACATAAGTACATTTGGCATCCAATATCGATATTCCCCGAGCTGTTTGTCCGCATTCACTCACGCCTTAACAGCGCTCTCATCCGATAGATTTGACCTGACCACCATCTTCTCAATTCCCCCAACCGAATTGCTGCTGGTCACCGCATACTCATTCCATTGCATCGCCTCATTAGCAGCACATGCCAAATATCACTACCCTCCCGCAGATTCATACATTTCAGATGGGCTCTCTAAGGAGATTACTAACTCTAGCCCTAGTCGATTGCGATCTACTTTTAAGAATCCTAACTGGTTATTTACGCTACGTTTATGTTAAGTGAAGAGTTTTTTTTATTGTTCACCTTGTGTTCAAAGTATTGCCGTCTTTTTAAACTTTTCAGCCTGAACATGATCAATTTGTAATAAATGAAATTGAAGCAAATCTTCTAAATTTTCAAATTGTATTCACTAACCTTATCTTACTTACCTTTTCTATATTCGCTTTGAACGCAGCTTACAGAACAGCACCATCATGCACCTATAAATCCGTTCTATGTCGATTTGAGGTGTAACCAAGCAACTAATCCGGGCAGTAACGGATTAAAAGAAAATAATACATTTGAAAATGATTAAAAACAAATTGGCGAATTAAACTGATATTCCTGCATGCCCTTTTTGAGGCTTGTTGTTCGAATGCTAGCATGCTTGTTGCTGTTGTAATTTTGTTGTCCTATTTTTAAATCAACTTCATGTTATCGTTATAATGTTTAATGTTAGGGGAACCGGTTTTACCAAAATTTTTACGCTTTGAATAAAGCTCAAAGTCATAAAACATGAAACATTTCCGAAACACTAAAAACTTCACTTGCTTCGCACTTCTCTGCCTTCATACTTATATCAACTATCGCCCTCGCTTACCTTTTGTCGCCTGCATGATTTTGATTTATCCAATCCCGATTTTTATTATTTATTAACTTTTTCTTTCTTATTTTTTCTCCAATTTGTTCAAAACCTTCTTTAGTGGTGACTTTGGAATGGCGGACTTCGATTCGATGACAAACTTTGAGGTATACAACTAAACTAACATTAAAGAAAAAAAAGTAGGCGCCTATGTATAAACGAAATCAGATAAACACCTGAAAGTGTGGCCGCTATCTTGGAAGTCCGTCGATGATGTTTACGCCACCTCAGCGATTGCAACGATCTGGCGCATGACTCATTGTGCTATTCGAAAGTTTTATTTAATGTTATCTAGATGTAATAATTAGATTTTGGAATGCATCGTAGTGGAAGGTTTTGTTTGGTATGTATTTCATCTCCTGATATCGTTCCACCTACAAAATCACCTACACGCACTTAAATTTTCTTTGCACTCGGGGTGAAATTCAGAGCTAAGCAAATGAGTTGTAGTTTAATTGTATATTCCTAAGCAAATGAGTCGAGAAAATATTATATATTGCCTGAAAATGGTTTATTATGCTATAATATATTGAATGTTAATAATTGTCCAGTTAATTGTTAAACGAATTTTGAACGTTAATCGTCGTTTTGCGCTATTTACACACGTTATACACAACCAAGATAAAAATCTTGAGAGAAGATATGGATTCCGGCAAGGAAGTAAGCTGGTTTCATTGGTCAAGGATCCGACAGCTTTTAAAGACTAGCTAGAAGAGTTAAAACTCAGCACAGGGAATGAATCGTAATTACGAATTTACACAGAGATTATCTATATATTTATATACGTATACATGTACGCAAGCGCTTTCTCGTCGCGGGTAGTGAAACTATTTTTGAAAACAAAGTTAGCTACAAATTTTGAATGTTTACTCGTGTACCTAATACATTTTACTAAGAAATAAATAGTTTAAGGGCATTGGTTTTTTGTCACATCAAACTCAAATCTTACCTTTATCCTTGCAGCTTTTGTGAAACGCCAAACCTCAAGAACCACACCAACAACAATAAGATCTACCAGAGCAATGCATGCAAATTGCGACACCTCAACACAAACACCTTCAGCACACAGCCAGAACATTGTTTATATCGTGATTATGTTCGTGTCTGACTTATGAGGAATTTCGAGTTTCTGTTTTGTATAAAAACTTTGGAAAGTGTCCGCATGTTATTCGTTTTATATTTTTATATTGCCTTTATATATGTATACATATACTTTTATTTTTGTGCTACGACGTTTTCGTCTGTGACAAAGCATTACGTTTAGATGATAATGTCGAGAAAATCGGATTAGTTAGTGAGTAACTATTTGTTGAATCTAAATTTTTGATTTTGATTTTAATTTTAATCGCCTAATTCTAAAACTTTTTTAAAGCAAAATACTTCGAGTGTTAAGTTTAAGTTAAACGAAACAAGAAAACAAATCAACGAGAGCAGCAACGCAAGGAACTTTTGCGTTAATTTTAGTTATAATCTAGAAAACATTGTGAGTTGCTTTATGTGAACCCCTCCTTTATTGGCTTCCAATGCTGAAAATGCGCAAAAATGTAACCAATCCATGTATATTTTTTTTTTAATTTGTTTGTTTGAGTCAGGGCAGAGTTTGCAATGCATTTCAAATGCGATTGCCTATTTAGTCAGTTATCAGAGACACGAGAAACACACACGATACTTTTGTGAGAGATCGTAAACATAATCAATAACAATAACACAACACTACACTTAGCTTTGTACATGAATCTTAAGAATTTTGTAAGAGTTAAGTACAACCCAAATAAATAAACAATTAAATAAACGTTTGAAACACTTAAATGCGAGTTGAAGCGGATTTCCTTTTGTGTACTCACAATTTGAGAAACAAAATGTAATATTGTGTACGTAAAGTTTTTATTGTTTATTTGTGAAAACTAGCGCACACACACATTCCCCGACAAACTAAACACACAAACAGTCACACACAGACACACATGAGAAAAGCTCGACAAAAAAGAAATGTTGATATTTGGAAACTATTTGAATGTCCTGTACTCATTGTGTACTTGAATTAATTGTGTACATTGTGTAAGTGTTTTAAATGTAATTTTAAACGCTAATTGGGTGTGCAATTTCAAAAACTAGAGTGGGAAATAACTAAAGAACTATTCTTGTCAAAATGGCCAATAAAGATTTGATTTTAAACACTAAATTGAGTTGTTTGCGTATTTATTTTGAAGTGTTATTCATCACAATGCCGGAGGAGCTTTAGGGGAGGTTTCGTATTCAGTTCTTGGTGGAGCAGCACTGGTCCTTGGGTCCATTCTTGCAGGAGCACTGACACTGCTGACTGCAGGCGCAGTTGTCGCCGCACTTGGTGGCCGAGCACTGGCAGTCTATGGATTTATTTGGCCAATAAGCAACTGTTTTGTATGTCCACTGGTTATCTGTATACTAACTTGTTCCGCAAGCCTTGCAACCCATGTTGTTTTGTTTACTTTTTGTTTAGATTTGTTGAAATACACTCAACTGACTTTGCTGCTAGCAACACTGTTTGATGTTTGCAGCTGAGAGGCGCAGCCTTCTTATAGTACTTTCAGTGCTCTTCGCACCACCAAATCTGTGATATTCTTATCAGGGCGTGTGCAAAGCAGCTTTATCATCGCGCGGCACAAAAAAGCATTATGTTTTTGCGCACGCCGATCGCGCGCAACTGCACACGGCTTTCTTATCTTATCAGCCAGCACGGCCCATAGTTTCGATTGGAGCCGATCGGATATAAAGGGGCGAACTTTCGAAGCAGAAATCATCAAAAAGTTTCAAAGCTTCAACGTTTCGTTAAAACTACAGTCAAAAACGAACAAACCATCAAGATGCCTTGCAAGGGATGCGGAAACAGTAAGTACAAATACTCCTAAACGGAGTTAAGTGAATAGGAACATAAGCTAAATAAACCTTTTATCTTTAGACTGCCAGTGCTCAGCCGGAAAGTGCGGAGGCAACTGCGCCGGAAACAGCCAATGCCAATGTGCCGCCAAGACTGGAGCCAAGTGTTGCCAGGCCAAGTGATTGGTGTCCACAAATAGCCCTTATTGAATAGTACTTACAAATCTCCGACTGATGCTTAATAAAAACCATTATATGTTATAGTTAATTCATTTGTTGTTACTTAAGGGCCTGAGATCTTTCAGCAAAAAGATATCTTTAATTATGGCTTGCAAGTTTGCATATTGCACATCTAAGAGCTTTCAATAATAATGCGTGGTTTGCAAGGTTCCACAATACAGATCTAAGATTATGGTTTAACTTAAAAAAGTGTAATAATAGGTAAGAAATTTGTTGACTCGAATGACCTTCTTAATAGTATAACATTTTTTCTTAATTTTACTTGCCTTAGTTTTTGTTCCATATAATCGAAACGCATCATTCAGGATAAGTTTATTTGGTGACGTAAACTAATGTTGCCTTTTTAACTGCTGTTCTCAATAAATCTTTTTGATATTCTATTAAAATTAAATCGCTAGTAAAAATGATGGTCCTACAATTAATCAGACAGGGAGACTTTAGTTTAACTTCAAGCATATAATTAACATTAAAATTTCAGTTCACTCTTGACTAAAGTAGCTTCTTAATCTCCATAAATAAATACGAAAAACGACTTAAATAAGTTCCGGGGGTTTTGTTGCGAAAGTTTCCTTCGAGTCACCCACTTCGGTCATAAGTTTATAATCTTCGTGGTTTATTTAATTTGCAGACGGGCAAAACAGCTCGCAAGCATTTGTGTGGCCCATTTGGCCAAGTGTGGTTGGCTGTGCAGGTGCGTTAGGTGAAGGGCCATCAGAGCGTGGAAGGGCACTCGAGTCGCCGCAGTCTTTAAATGTGCAACTTGGAGGGGCCGAGCAAGCAGCGAATGCATGTCTGAGTGCCGTGTCCTTGCAACAGTCCTTCAGGATGCGTGCCGCAAACGGGCTGACAGGATGGCAGGCAAGTGGGTAAGCATCTGGCAGATTGACAGCCAAGAAGGACACGCTGTCTGGCTGTCAGTTATAGCATCCGAAGGATGCATTAAGCGCGCTAATTGCAGTTGACAATCTTATTTCACAGCCAGCCAATTGAGGAACTGGCGGATTTGTGAAGTTAAGCCAGGGGATTTCCTTCTTTTTTGGGTAGCCAGGTTGGAGCTTAGGTCGGTGCCAAAATTTCAATTTCAGTGCTTTTAATGACGTTAAACGGCGGAAATGGAATCGCGCCGGGTAACAGCTTTTTGCGCCAAGTCATCAAAGTTAATTCGAATGGGTGGAAAGGTTCGAGCTATGATGTTTTCACAGCTATTTCCTGTTTGGGGCAGCCAGTCAAAATGCCAGTCAGCCGTCTGGATTCCATCATCGAGTCTCGTTTTGTTTTGCTCTATTTGCTTTGTTTTGCTCCTGGCAGGAAATTCGTGTCACACCATTTGCCACATTCTGCCCGATAAAGTGACACGTTGCCATTTTGAAGGTTGCAGCCGGCAAGTGGCAAGTGGGTCACGCGATGCGTTTAAATCCCGGCTTACGGCACATGGGGCGCATACGCGATTTCGGACACACATGGACCCACGGAGCGTATACGCGACATAACTCGCCAACGCTTTTGGGCGGCGTTCTTTAAAGCGCAAACGCAAACGCAAACAGTTAATTACGACATTAAGTTTTCATGTCGCAGCGAAGTGAAACGGAGCAAAGCGGAAACAACTGCAATGCGGGCACTTCGTGAGGACTTTGTCGCCAGCCAGAAAAGCGAAAAAGGACGAGGCGCCAGGCGCATCACTTATGCATAAGAACATTTTAACTTTTCGTTGGCCACTTTCGACCCTCCACGGGATAGGGGATAGGGGATACGGGATTCAAGAGTGGGTATAGGGGATGGAGGATAGGGGACAGCAGGACGAAAGGACAAAGGAGTAGGAGACCCGGCTCGTGTTTATCTTTGCGTGTGAATCTCGCCTCCTGGCAGTGTAAACTTCTTCTACGGAGAAATCAAATTATCCACACAAGTGGCGAGAAGTTTTGGCAGGCAACGAAACATAAATTAATGAAATGCACAAAAACTCTGCCCCCAACCTGAAACGCCCGTGTTGTGTGCAAATATTCTTAATAATTTATTGCAATTTGTTTGCTAAGCGCTTCGAAACTTCCTTGAACTTTTCAACATAAATTAACAGATTAGTCGGCAGCCGTCGCGTCGACCGGCAGACTAAAATGCGGGTGAGAGCTACTACCCCCTCTCTCATATCAGCTAGGTGCCATTTGGCCCAAAAGCTGGCGGAAGGACCAAAAAACCCAAACAGACTGGGCCCAGACAGGTCCTGTTTCGGTTTCAGCTCAGCTGTTCCTGCTGTCCCAGCGTTAATTTCCATCTCCCAGCGAGCCGGGAAAAACTTTACACCAACACGCACAGAGGTGCGCTTGTGATCCAACCGCTGTGGCCAACACTATAAATCTTGGCCAATTTGCAAATCTCTCCAGCCGCTTTTTGCGGTGTGCTTGGGGTCAAATCCATCGGGAGAGGGCAGCCTGGCCGGTTGGGTTTCACACGTTCACCGTGAAACATTTCCTTTTAATTTGTTTTATGTATGCAAACCTGTATAGCAAATTACTGCATTTTCAGAATGTGCAGGAATTAAACTCGAAGGCATTTAAATAAACTAATTTATTATCCACTAATAATTTATGTACAAGAATATCTTAAGACTCATTAAATGGTTTATTTGTGGGATTTGTTCCGACCTTTCGGGTAAAAACCTTTAATGTCAAAATAGAGAAACAATCTAATTGAAGTACAAGTACTAAACAGTATGTTATACAGCTTTACTTGTTTTTAATGCTAGAATATAGTTTAAACAAAATATTTTTTTTTGAATTTCCTCACATATTCCAAAATATCACATGTATTTTTTCGTTAAATGTTTCTCTTAAACTTTTCATCGATTTTCACGTTGAAAGATTAAAAAGTGTCAACAGCGACATTGATTTGATATGGTGCACACATACGCGTACAAGTTACGGTACAAGCGGTCCCATGTGCGTAATCAAACACACCCAGTCACCCCATACCAACCACCCACCACCACATGGGTGGCCTTGGGAGACGCCTGTCTGTCGGGGTGTCGGGATATCAATCGGTTTGGCGGCACTTTTCGCACCGGGATCATTTTTATTTTTCGTTTCGCTTCAGTTTTTCGATTTTCCACTGATTTCCCCAAGCACTTTGAGGCCAATGCACAGGGGTCAGGGTTCAGCGGGCGAGTAAATGTGTCACCTCATGATTGCCATAACTAATGCCAAGCAAACCCATTAGGGCAGCACATCCTACGGTTGCAGGAAGTCCTTTCCCCCACAAAACCGCCGACTGTGGGCGCTGCCCTTTGTTGACAGCAATTTCATATGCACGAATGCACCATTAGACGATGTGTCACACATTGCAAAGACAAAGGCGGTCCGGGACACGCCCCCGAATCCTCGACTCCGCCTGTCAGGCGGGGACAACAAACAAAATTGCAGTTTTGTCCTTGTTGACCATTAGATTTATTATAAAACTTTAATGCAACTTTCGTAGTGGCCGTGTGTCGCTGTGTGTTATTGCCGTAATGTTGTTAATTAAGTGAACATGGCTGCCGCCCTACCTGGCAGCTGTCCAGCATGAACGTACACATCCTGGCAAACGCCCCCTTTAAAATCCTTCCGACCTGTCAGTTGCAACCGGAGAGAATTGCAGAGGAAGTGCTCCGGGGGCGAGGGTTTCATCCAACCACGGCAAAAATGCAGAATGTCAGCGGCGATTCCAAAGCATTTCCGAATGCCATCCGGCGGAGCTTTGGGTTTGGTCCGTGCCTCATTAGCTAACCGTGCACGTGCACAAATCAATTTGGCTCCGGCGTGCTCGCCATTCCGCAGCCAAGCTAAAAACAATCATACGACGCGTTGTCCAAACGGCAATCAAAGTCAACTGCTTCCACAGGAGAAGGAAATCTCACACTGGTGAAAAAGGCTACTCGGGTTTTTTCAAAAATGGTTTTCATTTTTTTTTAGCTTGCATTTCTTGTTTTTCAATTAAAAATAACTCATTTTAATTTACTTTTCTTAACTCAGTTTATTTAAGGTTTGATGGCTGGTTTCCTGTTGTCTCACAGCCTTTTGTAGTTAAAGCTTCTCGGATTTTTTCTATCTCAAAAGCTTTTAAGCCCTAAAAAAGAAAAATTTTAAAAACATTTGAGACATGTCTTAAAGGTCGATAATTTTTTTTATCATATGCAACTGAAGAATGTATTACAGGAATTATTATCTAAATGTTTTTAAATAATTTAATTCGATTTTCTCGATATGTTTTACATATGAGTTTATTATTGATTTTGATTGCTTGGTCAACCCAACTTAGGGAATACATAGTTTAAATAGAATGAAGCCAATCAGAGGCGTATATTTTTTTCGAGTGCAAACACAGTCAAAGCACACGGATCTTGGGGTACGTTTTAATAAGCAATGGCTTAGGAGAAGCCGTGGGGATGCCACATTGGATGCTTCACTTGCTCAGTCGAGCAGCAGGTTCGAAGATTGCTTCAGTTTCGGTAAGTATAATGCAGTTTTTGGCCACACACTCACTCAGCTGATGCTTATCTATTGCAGTGCTTGCCAACGCTCCTGATAAGTGCACTTCATGACGTTCAAATTATATGGCTGCTCGCAACGAGCGCCATCAGCATTACGCCCACACACACACATAATAATAATACTTTCCCCTCACCCCAAGCACACACACACACACATCCACATTGTTGCATAGTCTATTAAACACACTGTAAGGGATGGAGTGGGAAAATGCATTTTTAATGCAGCGCAAATGTGGCAAGTTGGTTGGCCAGGCTTAGAGGATGCTTGCTTTTTGTTAACCAGAGAATTCGTGGCAAACTTTCGACGGCTGCCCCACTCTCCCGCGGACCCAATTAAACACCAATTAGCGCGGGTTAAAGTTTGGCTTAGCCAAACTTTTGATTTTTTCGGCATTGATTTTTGAACTCTGGAAGTGCGCCTACTTAACGACTCTCGATTGGAGCCAAGAAGAGGGCTCGTTTCCACGTAATACTCGTTCTAATTGTAAGTGGCTCTGGAGGACAGCCCG